TCATCTTGCTGCCGCGTGCTCTTACCACCTGACAAGAGATCATAATGATTTGCATATTCTCAATTAAGTAATCAACTTAGATTAGACACCGGTGTGTTAATGAATCGTCATGATTTGCATTTCTTTGTTAAGCTTTATAACGTAATAGACCAACATTATTATCATTATTCGCCTTACAAATAATAATATACTAGTATCTCATCCGACCTCAAAAATATTCCTTTAATCTTTTATTTCAATAGATGACAGCATTACAGTTGGTTTTAACAGAAAGAAACCATGCTTCTATAGCTCTGACACGGTATTGGTGATAAAATGGTTCATAAGCGCCATGGATCAAAAGCGCCCCACAACGGCGATAAAACATCATTGCAGTAACTGAGCCAAAGTATTGCTGCAGTCCTGCACCGAACTGCTAGGGGTCGCTTTTGATCCATGCACTGCACTTCACCTTCGTAACATGTTCGCAACGGTATCCTATCGTGGATAGAGCGGACTCTCTTCGAGGCGCTAGGGTCCGTTAGACTAGTATCTCTCCGCTGCCTGACTTAACTCTGTCCCGGTAGGAGTTTCGCACGGTTACGGTAGAATTCCCACCGAGCAAAACAAACAAACTCCGACCGCTTGTTTAGGCCATAGCAAGTAATCTTTCTGGATGACAGCGCAGGCATTAATTTTCGCCTGATTTTGGAAGAAAAAAAGAAATTTTGTTGCCCTTTGCTGGTTAACATGCCGAAAATGGGCAAAATGGCATGTGTGGAACGTGTATGGCAGATAAACATGAAGAGAGGAGACAAGGCTCTGATTTATTGTTTTGATTTTTTCTTTGATGCAGTGATGTATTTCATTCCCTTTATATGTTCCCACTCAATCAAAACCATTTGTACAATGATTGAAAACTTTGCTTTTTCAAAGCTGTAAGTGACAAATGGATGTTGTGATAGTTGGCAGTAAATTTAGCTCACACAATATAGGCATCATTTATCGTTTAACAGGGTTCATGATGTCAAAATTTGAAAATATAGGAATCTTGTTTTTGTGGGCCCGTCTTTTTTGCCCGCTCGCATTAGATTTGGAGTCTGCGGAGGATGTCATCAATAAAATTTACTTGCTGTGGCCTCAGATCCTTGTCGGCGGTTAGTTCTCTCACAGTCTGCTAAAAAATCACACAACATCACACTCGTACAATGACGTACGACACACTAGCCTGGAATCCATCCATGAACGCTGTGTCTTCCGCTGCAGTACCTAGGAAAGCTGCCAGGGGGCTCAAAATCTAATCATTTCTAGGTCTCATGAAGACCTACCCACCTACCAAGTTTCCTGACAATCCATGCAAAGCTTCTAGAGTTATCGTGCTTAACAACATACACACACACATGCACACATACATACATGCATACACACATGCATACATACACACAAACGCTCCTGAAAACATAACCTTACTGGCAAAGGTAATGAACCAAGGAACACAAAACTACTCACACAAGTGTCAAGTCCTGTACTTACTGTGAGTTTATTTCAACAACTGGAAACATCAACTGATAGTTTATAGCTGATAGTACATAATAATCTCAAAACCATGATGTGGTCAGGATACAAAACTTCATAACAGCCAACACTACAAACATGTTAACTGAACCAAACCATCCATTTTTATAGGCTTTGTGTAAACCCTAGTTCTAGTTAGCCCTGGCAATAGTGTGAAAAAATACAGGTATATAATTTGTGCAATGGTTTACAGGGCATATATACTAAGTATCTGAAAATGTGAGACACAAAACTCATAATACTAGCTACTTTCAATTGAAGGAAAATGATATCTGTAGTTATGTAAATATTGTAATTTGTATAAGATCATCTTTAATAGCTGATTCAGCACATTTCCTAACAATACAAAAGTTCCTGCTGGCCCTTTGAAGAAATTGTTACTTGACAGATCACTACATTCTGACATCATTTGTGGTCAGAACTTTTCACAGTCTATAGTTCTTCTACGTATTTGTTGTACATTTTATATGTGTTGAAAACACCATGATCATATTCTTGTTTTAAAGCACATCATCATTTGTTAATATTATTATCTTCAACTGTTGCAATGTAACATTGTACTAGTAAAGTGGTTGAGTATAGAGTTAGTAAGGAGGGTCAAAAACAAAGAAAACTAAATTACATAACAATGGTTGAGAAATATAAAACTTGTATACAAAATAGTTGACTCCCGTAATATCATCATGAAAATAGATCATCCTCTGCATCAAACAGTTGAATCCATTCTTTGTGTCAATATCAATCTTTCTTGAGTATACATGTATGTAGCTTCCTAAAGGCAATTCTACAGTAGCTTGATTTATTCAGGGCTATGGATCGGATTCTGTTTTATCACAAAATCAGAAGTACCTATGAACAGAAAAGCACATTAGCCCTCATTATCATTACCTCATTACCACCATCACTGATAGAGTTCTGATATGATTGTTGATTCAGATTCACTCGTTGTCCATCCCTTATTAGTAGAGTTTTTTTTTTAAATGTCAATGTCATAAGATTTACTTTGTTTCAAAAGCAAATGTCAGAAAGGCAAACACACTTAAACATGACATGTATATCAAGTTTGCCTGTGGAAAAATAAATAAATTAGAAAGATCACATTTGCAAAGCAAATGCTTAATGTTAACCTTCACATGGTCTAGCCTAAGTACTGCCCTGTTTATTCTTACTCAAACATGTATATATGGTGATCAGCCCATCCAACTCTGTCTGCAACTTGCTACATAATGCAACCCAGCACCACAGGGTGTTTGTTACAACACCAGTTACTATGGCGACAGACATTTGGTCCAGGTTATTGACCTTTTGTGTTTGGAGAAGAAGAAACAGAGCAAAAACAATATGTTTTCCTTCTGCAAAGGTAAACATAAAAAGACACTATAAAGAATATGATTTATGAGTCAACTTTTCTTCCAACACAAAAAAGACCAGATTCAACAAATTTTCCACCATTCCACTAGTCTCCTTTAGGTAACTGAGGACTCGAAGGCTTGGAACAAAAAAATTACTGTGTATGCAAGTCTACTCTTAATGTCAGAACAAAGTTTAAACAATCTGTTAAGTAACAATGCAGATAAACTTTCATGCCAGAAAATATGTTTGTTACAGGATGACAAGTAAATCAAACATCTGCATAATTTGGCAAAATCTGTTCCATTCACTGAATATGGCAACATACTGTATCTGTATCTGTATAGCCGGTATAACTGCTTCTCGGCAAAACAAACCAGCTTACAGTGGTGACAGTAAAATCAATCAAATGTAATTAGATCTAGTAATCTAGATCATGTAATGTTTCCAGCCTTAAATAACTGAACTCTTTGGCTACAAGTTAAAAATATTAGATGCAAAAAAGCTCTGCCTGACTTCTAAGGACATGCATACTTCATTTCTCAGGTTTTCCGACAGGTTACAGCATACATGTGGACCAACTTTAACATCAGCACCAAGGACAGGGATACTCAGAAACAATCTTTTGAAAATAAGTTTCCATGAAAACCAAGAGTTAGGCTCTAAAAACTAAAGTAAACATACTTTTATATAGCCATCTGTTCTGCTAAAGAAAACTACAACTTCTTGTACTGCACACCTAACTGCACTTTCCCACAACAAATTGCCGCTTTATAATAATAAGAGTCAGCGTATTGCTCTGGAACAACACAAAATTAGAGGGGAAAGTCATCCTGCACTTGGAAATAAAAAAGCATCTAACAATGGCTTTAATATCCTCACTTACACTGTAAATCTTGAAGTGTTTGTTGTGGTTTTATTTTCAAGGTTTTTGCAATGACCTCTGACCATTAAGTCATGACATAAGGAAAACGAGTTTTGTATTAAATGTACTACTGTACTACAGAATTGTTTCAACTACAAACTGCCACAAGAATACTGGGAGTTAGATCCCCTCCTACCATGAAATAAAGTCTACTTGAAAACAAATGAATTTGCAGTATTTTCAGGCTTCCACCTTGTGCTTTCAATTGACTTAAATGTCACATCAGTAAAATTTGTTGTTTCTCAGATCCACTACAGGAAAAAATCCTTACTTGACAATGAAATCAAAACATGTATCTGTGGTCTATGTTAGGCCTGCCAACCGAGTAATAAATGCAGCGGATCCTCCATTTTCACTTAAGGCAACAGCAAGTAAATTTTATGGACGACATCCTCCACAGACTCCAAATCTAATGCAATAAGGAGAAAAAACAAGGCAGGCAAAAGAAAAAACAAGATCCCTACATTTTCAAATTTTGACATCATAAACCTTGTTAAGCAAGAAATGATACCTATATTGTGAACAGGCTGCTAGGCCGACAGAACTTACACCACTAGGAAAAGCTATCTGTTACCAAAAATCAAAGACCATAGCATGTTCAGGACAAAAGATACAAAAACCGTAAGTTCTGCTGCAGTACCAATGTCAGTCACCAGGAGGCCCATATTTGACCTTGACCTTTGTCTTCCTACGACCTACCAACATACCAAATATCATCACAATCCATAAAGGCACTATGAACTTATGCTGACTACAAATGTGCAGAAACAACACCTCCATTTTTCATGGAGATGATTAATGCATGCGCTGATGCCATCCATAGAAATTACTTGCTGTGGCCTAATAAGAGACAAAGACAAGGAAACAAAAAGAATAGATTTCCCTTACCCTATTCTTTTGGGAAATGAACACAGCTCAAAATGTCATGTGACTGAATGTTCATAATAAACAGTGTTCCACAGTACACTAAAAAAATAAACAAAGTAGCAAGGTTTTCTAGTTCTGTCCCTAGAAAAAACAACTTGGAATGTTACTGCATAAACTCTAACATTGCTCTGATCCACCAATCTGATTTGCTCATCAACAACAATTTACACATTTTTCGGTGGAGAGTGTGAAACAGGTAACATTGTGTGCTATACATATCTTAGCACAGTAAATAGTAGCCAACATTTAGCTACTGGCAGGGATTGTAGTCTGTTGAAAGGGATGTTCCATGTATGGACAGCCACATATCAAGCATTTTAGAGAACCCACCACACTTATCAGTAAGAGCGTGATACACCCTTATGTGAATGAATCAGACCAACAGCCTATACTTACACAGCTTGTACTTATAACAATACAAAAGTGGAGCTTTATGCCTTCAGTTCATGTTGCACTCTTGCTCAATGTTATGATATCTGCAGACCAAGGAAATAGATAAACGTGGCCTAACCATCAGTATCAAAGGCCACATCTTCTCTGTCTACATCCCGATGAAGCGCGGGTCGTTCATCTTGTACCCCGACCCTCCCACCTCCCCGTCAGAGTCCGAGTAGTGGTCAGAGTCGTGCAGGTGACTGTTGGTGTCCGAGGACATGTCCATTTCTGGCAGGATTACGTTGGCCAGGGTAGATGGCAGCCCTCCTCTCTCTGTTCAACAGTAAGAAAGGAAACAGATATCTATGTTTAAGTGCATTACTCAGACAATGATACTTCTAAAGATATGATTAATTTGATTTGACTTTATTTGATTTGATTTATTGAAATTGCAAGCGTGCAATACACATGGGACACAGGCAGCTGTTGCTGGTGTTGTGTCCCACACATAGAAACAAATAAAGGACAATACACAATACTCATTTTCAGTTGACTTAAGTGGGGAAAGTGGTGTAAAGTGCCTTTCCCAAGGGCACAAGATCGATGGCATGTTAGGACTCGAACCCGGGACCTCTTGGTTCCTAGTCAAGCACTGTATCGTTGCGCCACACAAACCCACGATAAGATAAAATGATTATGTCTGAACATGCCTGGTACAGGAATACATTATGTACGAAGAAATTTGCACCTTCAACTAAATAGGATGTTTTTTTCAGGAGACAAAGTCAGCCACCAAATTCACATTGCAATTTTTGACAGGCTGGAGTCAGACACTAAGCTGGTTCTAACCTTTATGTCTGTGCTGTGTCAGTGTCGGTGGTGGCACATTTTTCTTCTGTCTTGGATCCGGCTCAGATTCTGAGTCAGAATCAGATGACACGTCCTCCCATCTGTCAAAGTCAATACCAAGCCAGGGGTGCTGTAAAACAATGATAACAGTTAAATAAATATTAAATTTGTGAACTAAATTACAGTGGACTGAGCAGACCTCTGATGTTACAACGGATTCTCTTCTTCTTCTTCTCCAAACAAATAAGGTCAATGACCTGAACCAGATGTCTGTCACCATGGTAACTGGTGTTGGGTTACATCATGTTGCAATTTTATGAAAGGGGGGATTTAGACTCCTGTCACCATATATATGAATTTGAATATGTGTTTGATAAAGATATTATTAACATACATGTACCTATATAGGAACATATCTAATGTCAGTTACAAAAAGTGCAAACTCTCCAGGTTGTACTTGTTGTAAGAGGAATGGTGTTGACCTTGGACTTGGTGCGTGTAAGTCGAGGCCAGGGTCCCGGCTTCTCCTTCCTCAGGGTGAGGATGACATCACTTCCTGTCAGTCGACAGGAACACCCGCCAGGCTGCACCTTGTCGTACAGGTCCAGGTTAAGGATGTAGTCTGTGCCTCTGAAGAACGACCTAGGTGGAAGGAACAAGTTCTCAATGCCATATGCAGATTGATCTTAAGCCATTTGTATGGCCCTTCTTACCGACCATTGAATGATATTTTCAAGGGCAAAAAGTGTAGAAATCTGCAACATAATTTCAATTAATCTTTTTGTCACCTATCAGGGCTCTCCCCAAGCAATGAAGCAAGGGTGTTCCCCCTCTCCCCCAAATCATAGCACCTCCCCAAAAATTTTCAAATTTAGAATTTTCTCTTACTATTCCCATGAAAATTCGCTGATTTTTCAACAACCGGTTAGGGAACACCTCTCTGGGGAATTTCTGGGGAGACCCCTGCCTATATATGCATCACAGTACTTTAACTTTCTAGAACTGAAAAATAAAATCTCGTTCTTTGCGACCTGTCCATATGACTTGTCAATGTTAAACGAGGACAATTTTACGTCAATTCAATTGCACCAACTGAGCACAAGTCATCCCTACACAGAAGATGCTAGTAGTCAAGGCTCCTTGTGCTTTGTGTCTGAATGTGGAGAAATCCTACCTGAAGTGTAGAGCTGTGGGTAGGAAGGTTACGTTTGGCTTTTGTAACAGACCTCGCAGTTGTACGCTCAGGGTCACTGTTGCCTTCTGCTGGGACCACAGGACCTTTGGGTGCAGGCTGCCAAGGCAATGGAATAGAAACCGTATGTTAATTTGTTAGAGGACGAAGAACCATCATTGACAGAGGACTTGTTTGCCCCTAACATTAATTCTAAAATCTGAGCTAAGAAAAGATGGAAAAATCTCACCTCTGAATCTTGTGACCACCTTTAGCAGGTAACTGAGATTCTTCCTCCTCTGTAGTCTCCAGTGGTGGCATGTCGTTGAAATCATCATCCTCCTCGTGGATAGGCTCTCCATTCCCTTCTGGGACAGGCTCCAGACTGGGTCTCCGTGTCCTGTGTCTTGTCCAATGATGTGCCAAAACCTGTGCCTTCCTTGTTTTGATATCATGATATTGAGTGGCTGAACCATGACTGCTTGAGTCTGAAGGATGAGAAGGGTTTTGACTACTAGTATTTACACCAGACGTAGGTTGACCAGCCTGCAGCTGAGGGGGAAGGGTATGCTCCAGAGATGCTGATTGGTTGGAACTGAGAGAGGAGGAGCCTGGCCTTCTCATGCTTGATTCTGATTGGCTAGAGCTGGAATGATGAGAGAAATTTGGCCTGTTTGTGCCATATGCTGATTGGCTGGAAGTCAGCTTAGGGGAGGGGAGCAGGTTACTTGTACTGACTTCTGAATGGTTGCCATTGGAATGATTGACAGGTGGTTTTGCACAAGTGACAGGTTTTGTCCTTGAAGGAGGCCCAAACTTGGACAGCAGGTCTTTACACTGACTGCTGATCTCTTGACTCTGGTGACTGGAGGCAAACCTACAAATGTGATACAAGCACACACATGCTTCTATTGAGTACATTTTCTACAATGAAGATTAAATCCTAAGCATATGCCTGTATTGAAAACTTCACAACTTTACTATAAAAAGGTAAAAAGCTCAGTCATCATACAAATGACAGTTCGACTAACATCTTTCAATTCCAAGACCTTTTAAAACACTTTGCAAATTTCAAGTTTCCATAATTGTCCATGACTTTGCCTGACTACATAAACCCTGAAAATGTCATTGCAAGGTACAGAGTGCTACACACCTCTCTATGACTTCCCTTACTCCACTCCTATCCACCAGGACAGCTACATTCTCCTCACACCTGAAGGTGACAGCCTTCAGTGCCCTGAGAGCCTGCACCAGAACCTTGTCACTCTGGCTGTTCTGTACCCTCTCACACAGCATCTCCACACCTCCCTCCGCTGTGATGGCTGCTCTGTTGGCAGACAGTGTGGCCAGCTGCTGTAACAGCTGTAAGGCTGGCTCCAACACGGCGCTGTCTGCACAGCCCTTCACCAGCTGGCACACAGTGTGCAGTCCTCCACACTCTGCAACTGCACTGCAGTTTCTGCCAGGGAGATAGGGGGCACTTCTGATAAGGTAAAAGTAATCTGGTCCTTGATCACATGCGTTTTATGGCCATGACAAATAAGCAAAAAGAAGGGTCTCTAGGGTGGGGACTATGTAATTTCCCAGTTCTAGAACAGAACTTTTTTACAATGCACTTTTTTTACAGAACTTTGAATAAAAATTGTCAATGCTGATATAACAAAATAGAAGAATAGCGAGTTAGAAATCACATTTTTAGTGATGATATCGGTCAGAAATAACAGGACTTACATCTTATTTTCAGTGACAAGGTTGCCCAGACAACAGCACACATTCTCCTGGACCTGCAGACTCTTGGTGTCTGCCAGAAGGTGACACAGAGTTCTCAGTCCACCCAGCTCCTGTATAGCCTCTCTGTTGCTCTCATTCAGAGCGAGATGTTTCAGGGCCCATACCAGCTGCTTCTGAAGCTCAGGTCTATAATCCTATATGACACAAACCAGAACACCTCCTGCAACTGTAACTTTTTATGCTGTGCTTTCACTGTCAAGTTGTGTTTTATGAGTTACACCAAGGTTTACAGAATAACCTTGCTCTGCTTTTTAAGACTCTTACTACAAGGTCTAAAAATAAATCCAACTGAAGCAAATCGGCAGAACGTACAGTACATGCACAAACCCCGTAAAGTATTGTGCATAGCATTTTGGCAGAACGTCTCATGTAAGGTCCTACTTGCAGACATTGTATATAAGGTTAGCATCCCTGAATCCCGTCTGAAGTTTCCAAATATTATGTTGGAAAAGATATTGTCTGCAAAAGCGAAATTCTGATGCTACGTTGACCAAAAATCAAACAAAAACCATGGCAAATCACGGTTTTGCCCAGTGCAGTACGTTCTACCAACGTGCCTCCAACTGAAGGCATTTCAGCACCGAGGACAATGCTACCTGAAACTTGCCTTGTGATATTTCTAAAATATTACACAAAAAAGTATCAGCCGTACCTTCTTGAGCAGCCTACAGAGTGTCCTGAGCCCTCCCGTGGTCCTGACCTCCTCACAGTTGGCCTGACTGTTGATGACCATGTACCCCAGACTGACCGCCAGGCTCTCTAACACGGCAGGGTCTGTACAGTACCCCAGCATCAGGCACACAGAGCTCACACCTCTACTCTCCTGCATGCTGTCACGTTTCCTGGAGCAACAAGAGCTATATGTTCTTCTTATGTCTCACTAACAGATTGAAGTGGTACCAAAATAGCTAGAGAACACTACATTGTGTAGGAACTTGTATAGAAGTATATTGGAGTATTCATACCCTCTCATGTTGAATGATGATTGAAGACTAAAAATTGTAACATATTGCAACATAACATATCTACAATGTAAGGTTCTGTCACATGTTGTATCCACTGACATGTTGTATGCTTTACAGATCATTTACAACAGCATCAGCTAGGTATGTCCAGATACTTCACTGTTAATTCCATAGCTTCAGACATTTAGATAGAACAGAAAAATTTGTATTCCTTATGAAACTAGACAAACCATGTATCATTAGCTCCATATGCTCATATATCTACAACTTTCTTAAGAAGTGAGAAGAAATTGAATCTGTACATAGTAGCTAACATCAGTATGTAGAAGATATTGCTGTAATTTTGTTACTTCTGCTTTCTTCATGACCTGTACCTAGCTTTAATAAAGAGCATAAACGTACAATAAAGGTCTTTCATTTATTCATTCATTCATCAATGGTACTAATAATCTAATAATAGAGACAAGACAATCTCACGTAGGGTTGTTGATGACAATGCTGTCTATCTGTCTAGCCAGCTCCAGCCTGTGGCCTGAGTCAGACGTCTGACACAGCTGTGCACACAGGAGACAGATCTGTTCTGAAGGGTCTGGGTGGGACTCCAACCTACACCAAAACAGAGAAGAAGAAATTAATGTAGTGATAAATTGCAGTACACAGAGGACTTCGTGCTCTTGCAGCCAGCTTATGTAGTATGTTTTTTTCAATCAATGTAAAATGTTACACCAAAGTTTACAGATTGACTTCATATCTACTTCTACAGTCTAAGGATATGTCCAACTGAAGGCATTTCAGCACCAAGGACAATGCTACCTGAAACTATGTAATATTTCTGAACAGTTACACAAAAACTTCAGCATCAGCCGTACCTTCTTGAGCAGTCTACAGAATGTCCTGAGCGTTTTTTTCAATGTAAAAAAAAATCTTGAACAGAATATCTCTATTGAAAAGACCTTCAGCACACTATAAGTAGCAGCTTCATGAGTGGTTCAGTTCCCAAAGGCTAAAATGGATTTTGGTTCATAAAAGGCTTGCAAGATGGGCCTGTAAAAGGAATGTCTGTGCTACAAGTTTCACTACATCAAAGCTTTATCAGTAGGTGTGCATTATAAACGTAGTACAATATCATGATACACCTAACGCAATCTTGTAAGTAGTACCATGTGAAATAGTACTAACCAGGCAGGATCATCCACCATGGGAAACAGCAGGTTGATGACCTCTGGTGACCCCGACACGACCCCGTGACCCTGCATGACCATCTCCTGGCTGATGATGATGTCATACTCGGCTGACGTGTCGTACAGCTCCATCTTGTAACGGTTGTCATTCCCATATTCAGATGGTCCAACTGACAGGACCTACTCAAACATCAAACAACATAGGGGTTGATCATTCCTTACAATGTGTGAAAGGATGACATTTGGAAAGGTTTGATCAAAATGCTATAAGGATAAGAAACATCAGGCTTGGAGAAAACAATAAATATCTAAAACTAATCTGTAAATCACTTTATATGCACATTAGCAAAATTTTGCAGTCTGAAAACAATGGACATGTTCACGGAACTAAATGTTCGCTTTGGCAGCAAGTGTTGGAGAAAGCAAGTCTGCGAATTATTTGTTCACAGTAATGATAAATTTGCGGCACAGAAGTTACCATGAAAACAAAAAAACAAAAAAGAACCACGAAAAAATTGTGATTTACATATTCCCTTTTCCAATTGGCAATAAAAATATGATTGCCAGTATGTACAATACAAGATGGGGAAATCACCACTTTTCATGCATTTATACTCCAGTTTACCTGAGCGAAGAGCATTTTCTCAAACACCATGTCCCACAGCTCATCCCCAGACTCCTCACTCCACTGTTGGCCATGCAGGGGCTGGATAGAACCTAGGCAGGCCTCGATGGCTTGGAATGGAAGCTGTGAAACACATGGGAGAGAGTGTCCATTCTTATTTTTATCTTATTGGTTCAGCTGTGTAGGTGACAGCCAGGGCTGCCCAACTAGTTACAAAACTAATTTAAAGGGTGAGCCCTGGAAGCAAGGACTACAATTAAGCTACATAAGATAAGTACAGGACATTAAAATCGTCAACTCATTAGATCTATAGGATTTACTATACATAAATGTATAAAGACATGCTAAGGTGCACTAAAAGAGTAGTATTTACATTGGGAGGTTAGGGTCAGAATTCACAGTGTACGGGTCTCCAAGTGAGGTCTGGACTTTGGTTTTGAAGATGTAATGGTGTCCATTTTGAGTGCAGTTTAAGAAAAGATAGTACATGGGATCACAAGAAAATTAAGCTAAGAAACAATTTCAAAGCTGTGATGTGATCCTTCAGACTTACTTGAATGTATTCCAATGTTTGATGCAAAAGAGCTAAAACTTTCAGTCTTACCTGCATGACTTCCACCCACGGTTCCTTTAAGGACCCCCTGGGGATGATGGCTGTGTCTCCATGGTCCAAGTAGAAGACTTCACACATCTCCTCTTCCTGCACCTGCTGTACACGGGCTCTGTACCATCTGTCAGCAGGGAAACAGGGAAACATCTCAACTTTTCTGTTCTATGATGCAAAGGTAACTGATTTGTTTTTCTGTGCTGGTATTCATACATGTGTACATTCATAAAGGCATTGTCTGAATGCCATCATAAAAACCTTAATTTGCCAACAAGGTAATGAAGTCACTTTGTCTTCAATGACGTCGACTTACATTTTGTACAGGACAGTGTAATGCCTTCATCAGATGGATAAATGTACATAAACACTAGATAAAGTATGAAAGTGTGTAACTTGGTTGACTCCAAATATATGAAATTATGACAAGAGAAAACAGAAAGCAGGCAGGTGCCTGTAAACCAATTTAAACACAACTGCCACAAATTCCACAGTATTTATTGAAATTGAATAATTTTGTCTCTCCAAGAGAGTATTGACAAGAGATCTAGAGAGTAACCTGTTGTCCTGAGGGAAGACAGCTACACACAGCCGCCCAGGTGCCACCTTCTCCAATACAGGTGCAGCCGCAAGCTTCTCCTCATTGTTGACTTCTGCAGTCAGAGCTTCCAACCTTACAGATGACAAGAAGATATGCATTCTGTGAAAAACTTTGCAGCAAAAGATTCTTTGCATTAGAAAAATCTAACAGAATGACAAATGCATTACCCGTGTTATCTTTCTGATGACTTGTCTCTCAACTGTGTGAACATTGTACATTGTACTTACTCTCTGGCATAGTATTTCCTCTGCACATATATCAGCCCAGGATGCTCCACAGCTGACACATACACCTCATCAAACCCTGACTCAGGCAGGGCGGCTGTGGGAGGGGGATTGGCCGTGCTGTACTTCTGCCCAGGCTTGGCAGGGGGCGCTTTAGATGGAGGTTTATACTCAGGGAGGGCCATCTTCCCGTCACAGGCTTGTCTCAGGAGTGATACATGCTGGAGAATCAATGGATACATTATGGGACTTAAGAAGACTGTCAGTGGGTTTTATGGGCTGATCATACACGGTTTTCCTGACAATTTGGTCCACAAAATAGCACGATAAAACTCAAGCTTTGTGCATTAAAAAACACCTAACAGAGATGAAAAGTTGTCTATTCTCAAAATCTACATTGTCTACATGTATGTTGGAGAGAGAGCTTTCGATGTGAAGGCTGTGACTAAAACATGTATCATAATAGATGCACCCACATATTCTAATACTAGTACTATTACCGACAGTGATATGTTGTAGATTTCATTCAAAAGCTTTTTTTTACTGAAAAGCTGCATTTACTCACTCACACAACCAAACCACAGTTACTAACAAATACTCTGTTACATGTCACTTGACCTGTAATGTTAACCCAAACAAGAAGCCATAGGCGACAATTCTCCGTGAAGTATTATATATTGCAACAAAAAGAGGTAGCCATTGGCAATTCTCTGTGAAGTGTGATAAATCGAACAAAGAAAAATTGTTTAAACGCACGTCGGCTCAGTCATCTTAAGACGCAACAACCAATCAGAGATGCGAAATGCCGACACGTGACGCGGGATTTGCATACAGTCTAAACAACGGGGAAGGGCGCGCGATGCCCGAAATATTGTTGTGTCAATATTCAGCGCCGTGTTTCAAGAGATTAATACCGGGAAACAATTTCTTTTCTTGTTTTGAACGCATAAACATGCATTTACGCTAATCTAGTATGATTCAGGGTTACTTTTTTTTTTACCTGCCATGGCCAGATTATCTAAAGATGTGTGTATAGTGTGTACAATCTACAGAAAGAGAAATGTACATCAGGTCCGATCATCGGATTTTCATGTTTCGGTTTTTTGGACTCGGTTCATGAACGTATTTTGGTTTGGCTCCTGGAATGTGCGAATGTGCGAAAAAAATGACTCCCGGGACTGTCTACAGGGAACACTCGCATATTGCCCAACATTCGCGGTGTATCAGGACGGCGCGACTGGTCGGCATTAGCGCAGTCCCTGTAATTAGTAACAGTTGCACATCAATCCGCCCTAAAGCATGATTGTGTAACACAGGCTACTTCTTCATATACCGGCTCATACTACAAGACGCCTTTACAACTAGCAAATCATAAAATTACCCGATCTACTAGTATGTGCGGTTTACCAGCCCCAGACCACATCCGACCACGAGGCCGAGAACACATTGATGGGTTGCTCAAAAATATTGTCCATTTTTTCAAAGAGCTGCTCCACTATTATATTTAAACACTATGGAGTGGCCCAACCCAAGTGTACAGTGGAGCGGCCAGTTGCTACGTGACTAAATACACGCCGCCACTAGGTCGCCACAGCCGACCAATTTGAAATCGATAGGATTACGTCATCGGTATTTACATTTCGTAATGTTGACCTCTGACCACCCCACATTTCCGTCCCCATCAGCCTGACCGCGACTTACTAAGTACTACCGGTCACATAAACGGCTGGACGAAAACATTTCAACGACATGGGGATGTTTCGAAAATAAGCATTTACTCCAATATCAAAACAGCTACGGTAAAAATAAAAAGACATGCATCATCCCGGACATAATGCCACACCACATGCGAAATTACACAGAAATGTGACGTACGGAAGAATGCGTTTTGGCTGCGAACATCTTCCAAAAAACTTGCCATCTCTTAACCATGGGCAAAAACATCTGGAACCACTTATAAAAACCACCCCGTATCTGCATGAAGTTCCACCCCCCCACTGCTATTCCAAACAACGCGTTTTTCTGGACCATTCCAATTCGCCTCGTAATTGTAGGGGTGCGTCTGCAATATTACATTGACCGCGAAAGCAGCAACGGCAAAAATACACATTCGTGCATCAACACGGGCATGCCCGCAGACGGCGTATAAAATTGCGTGCCGATTACACAAAGAGAACCCAGTGTTTTGACTGCGAACATGAAAAATCAGCCGTTCACAACACTCCGTCCGGAGGTCCTGACCTCCTTCACGGAGTAATAATGAAAATTGTACAAGTACATGTACTTTGAATGGAAGGAAGATGTTACAAACAATGGGAATTATAAAGAGATTTACACATACATCTGGGTTCTTTTCAGCCAAGCATACACGTAGTAGCTCCCTCCTGATGTTGTGTTTGTTTGTCGTGGCTTTGATGCCCTGTAGAACTTTCCTTTCCACCAGGGACTCCATCCACAGGGTGTGTCCCAAACTGATGAGGAAATGGGGGAAGGAAATTAACAGGTTTGAGCTTCTACAACTAATAACATTTGCCTCAGTTGCCTCAGTTAAATGCATTTTAACAACCATCTGAATCTGAAGATTTTTTCAAAGAATCTGAAGATATTGTTCTGAGATTGGTTTGAAAGAATCTAAGAATTGTTTTAAAGAACCACTCAAGTTTTTTCAATATTAAAATTTATGCTGGAACTCCATTTGATTTTATTCAGTGATCTTCAACAATGGAACAAACATGGAATCTTTTACAAACAATACTGTCACATACAATGACATAATATAATATTTGTGTTAAGGTACGCTCTACATTAGCCATACTGAGCTGTAACATACCAGCCATTTGTATTTGTTTATTTGTTTATTTGAATTCACCACAAGATATACAAGTGGAAGGGAGGACAAAACAGGTGCATTGACACATTTACAAGTTGTCCTCCCAAGCACAACATACAGAATATAAAAACAGATTACATTATTAAATTGCAGTCATAATGCAGTATTACAAGAAAATGGATTCTTTAACCTTCTTCTTGCCACCTAACTCTACAATAAGCAATACAAAGTGTCAGAAGGTAAACTCTGCTGGGAGAAGGTTAAAAATAGGGAGGAATTGATTCTACTGACCAGAGAGCCACCCTGCCTTCCAGTTCCTTGCCACCGATGAGTGCAGCAGTGAATTTGTTGGCCATGTCTGTCCACCCTTTGTCCTGATCGATCGGACACACTCCACACAGAAATACCTCCACAGCCTGGGGACATGGGAGCAGTAGTAGTAGACTTGGGTGATTCAATACACACAAACACACACTCGCATTGTCACACAAATACACACAAACAAATACACACAATCATTTAATTTATAAATGTACACACACACACATAGTAAAGAGACTCTTTTTACACAACCAAGTCTTTTATTCAGCCAACGTTTTGGTGTCCATCTGTCACCTTCCTCAGGGCAATTCTAACTGGTTCACATTGCTCTGCAGCACTGGTGTCGCTGCTATAGATGCGTTCCCAAACGTACAATATTTACATATCTACACATGTGTGGTTACAGGGAACTGTATCTACAATGCGGTCCCAAACATACAGGAGTTGGGTATATACATTGTACATATTTGTGGTCAGTTATGAAACAAAAGCACATGGTTGTGTAAAAAGAGTCTCCTTCTGCAGTGACATACTGACCTGACTATTCACGGACACACACACATACACTTTCACAAACATACTGTATACACACAAACAAACACTCACACATACATGCATTCACACACAAACACACACACACACACACACACACACACAAACACATACACACACTATACCTGTGCTGGTACCGCTGCCAAGTGTCCTGGCAGGTTCAACAGTTCTGTAACCTCCAGATCCTCTGTCTTTCCCTCGTCTAGGTGGAAGACAGTGGCTATAAACTTGGTGGTGAAGCCTTCCCATACTCTGATCTTGGTGACTCGAACCCTGTGGAACGTGTTCTGCTTGTCCCGTACAGCACACAGGTCACCCACCTGGGCTGTCACTGGAAAAAGGAGTTATTTGGTTATCTAAAACTAGGCATTCAATGCAATTTCAGGGCAGCAAAACTGGAAATATTCTGAATAAGGCAATCTTTGTGATACATGTATTGACACAATACTGCTTCACATTGGCACATTTAAGTCAGCATTTCATACTTTGGGCTTTTAAAACTGCAGAAACAAGCCCCAATATGAGTCCTTTGTTTTCTGGGTGGTACTCTAATCAGCCCAGGGCCCTTCCAGTAACCATTTTCCTTCAGAATTTTGGAAATTTTTGCTCCATGAGGGTCAATAAACATTGGGATAGTGTGGTTTTGACTAAGTATGTAGATTGACTAGAATATTGGCTCTGAAAAATCAGACGCTCTATGGAAAAGGACATGCAGGGCCCCATTCCTACACTTACCGACTGGTACTTTGTTCTCCTGCCTGCTGTAGTACAGTCCTATGTCAGCCATGAGGGGCAGACATGTGTTCTCCCTGGGTACAGCCCTCCTGTCCCAGTCCCAGTGTTTCAGGATACGCCCATAGTAACAGTTGGCATCCTTCACATGGGTCACCAGGATCTGATGAACATTTTCAAAAATTTACTGTTCAGTCATGAAATCATAATTTAAGTATGCCATGAAATACTGACATCATGTAGAAAAATGTGGACAAAATCTGAATCAATGTAGGCATTACTACAGCACATGTAACTGGTTGGTTGTCGTAGCATTACAATGACATATGACTAGAATGGACGAAAATGTGCATAACATTGCCTTTCTTCTATGAATACTTAACTGCCATACACCAACAAAACAGAAAAATCATTTTACTAGCTACATTTGAATACATTGTATCAGATTTTGTCTCTTCAATTTGACTTCAACAGCAATATTGCACAAACGACAAACCATCACCAATCACAGAAAATACAATAGGTCCTTTATTTTTACTTTCTGTTTACAACAGTGGGTTTCCCACCTTCACATATCCTAAGGTAGGCATCCCCTCCCCAGGCTGGTCCACCTCAGGTACTACAATATGTCTGGCCTTACACCTGGCCTGCTCTGCACAGTGGCCGAACGCCTTCATGGCATGGCAGAAACTGTCGTCCACTCTTCCTATCTGCTTAGCCTGAATAAAAAATAATGGAGAGGAAAAAACACTGCTTTAGGGAATAGGACGACCATAACCAATGAGATCTTAGAGATACTCACAGTAGAAGGAATAACAGAAGGGGTGTATGAAAATATTGGTGGATTTTTGCTTTCTTCAGTCTCTAGTTTTCAGTTTCTTTTCCTAAGTTTTTTCTTCTACACACAATTTTTTTTTCTCAAACCCTCCCAGTACATGTACTTTTTTTATTTCCCCATGTCAGATCCTTCCCAATCCATTCTTAATCCCCACCATGTCTTTCTGTGTGAAATGTTTTAGTAGACTGAACAAGAATACTTGGCATTCTGTTATCATTATATTTGGATGCATGTAATATACATGTGCTAGTGTAATGTACAATGTAAAAGATAGCTTTACAGTCAATCTGAAGGTGCAGACAGAGCTTAATCACTGTTAACATTGAGGATAACGTTATGAAAACTGTGACCCACCATCCAGGCCTTGCTGCACATGTCCAGCATATCCTGTGACACATGACCTCCAGACCTCCTCACCAAGGTCACAATCTCCTGCAGGCCTATAGCGTACTTGGTGCACATCTCAGTCACCAGGATGAAAGACACACAGCCTGGGGTCTTCTTCTTCTCCTGTAGAAGACAGGACCATGACAGACGAAGAGTCTGATGTACTTTGATACATGGTCTGAATCTCAACTCTTTTCCTGGGCAAGTCAAACATACATGTACCTGGTGCACTACTAGGTATGCAGGGCATTGTAAAACACTTTATGATGACTGTCATTTAGTGTCAGTATGTTCAGTAAAGCTGTAAAGAAGAAAGAGAGAGAACACAAACAAAAAAAGCTGTCCTGCATTGACAGAAAAGTAGACAGTTGATAAACAACATTACATGTACATACATGTACATCTTACCTACAAGCATGTGTATGTAATGGCCGATTTCATTTCATTAATATTGCAGCTAAAGAAATGTGATACAACCCAAAGCGAAGAGGTTTAAGTGCAAACTCCTGTCTCATAGAAAGGCTTTTGAGTCAAAGAACAAACCTTGCTAACATCCTTGTTGAAGCTGTTGGTCATACATCCCAAGCGTGCGCTGAACTTGAGAGCAGACTGAGCGAAGCTGTAGTGTATCACACAGGTGGCATCTCTGATGCTGAGGTCTGGTATGACTGAGTCGGTCAGAACTAAGACAGGCAGGGAGTCCTTCCTGTGGTGCGTTGTCCATTCTTTCATGACCGTGTCTATCTGGTACTGGTGTTGGTCAGTGTAAGCACACAGGGTGTTGTGGCTGTAAGTCTTGAAAAGCTGGAGAAACAGAAGGATAATTCACTCTTACCGACTAAATTTCTTAAGAACATGTTGCCATGTGTAAGGAAAAACATGTCTGGACAGATAAAGATGGATTGTTTACTGGAAAAGTGCATGCAATTTTTGTTTTGCCCTCTTGATTTTCCTTGAACCTTTCCTTATTCCAATTATTAAGAATCATGACAGACCTTATGCCACTATATTGTAATATGTTTAGTTGACATTATGCTTGTTATTAGCTATAGGTTGAGTTGACTCTTAAGGTCATGACCCTATTAGAGGTCACCTCGTGGGGTGGCCCTTTTGTCCATTTTTGTTTGTTCCTATCAGGTGTCCATTAAAGCTCATCTCCATCTATCGCATCTTGTTGTCTTGAGTCATCGAGTATGCACCATATAAATGGCATTATTTTAATATTTATGTGTAAACAAACTCCGGAACCATGATGCTCTGCGCTGATGTCGGCGCAGTCGCAGTACAGGCAAAAGCCACGTACACCGGCATTTACAGGTGAATGGGATTTAAAAAGGCCAAGCAAAAGCCGGTGACAGGTATGTCATCAGTGTATGTTATCAGTGACAGATCCTTTTCAACTGAAGGAAGTCACTGTGACAACAATACACACAGATAGAGATACCAAAAACAAGAGACTGTACAATATTTAGAGGGGGGGGGCAAGGAACGTTTTGTGGCAAAAGGGGACTGGGAGGGGCCCTCGTCTTTGGGCCCTAGAAAAATATTTCTTCATATCCTTCAAATGTGTAAAATATGCTGCTCCAAACCACTCAGAAAACACTTGCTGGGAAAATCTGTGTGATAGTGTGCACACAAGCTCTTTGTCCAGGGATCAGAGAGCCACCATGGCGGACTGTCAGGAAGCCGGCGAAAAGCAAGGTTTTGTCCGATTCAGGCCACTAGACATCTAGCCAGGAATGGAAAGAATCGAACCAGTGACCTTTCTATCTCCTTAAACCACTCAGCCATTCTATGCCACCCAGATAAAATTATGTTCTTCTCTATATTATGTTCTGCTCTATACTATAGTACTTGTAACTTGTCAAGGCCCATAATATGCAACAATCGGAATCTACCTCAGAGTCTAGATCTTTAGCATTCGACTAGAGGGCAACATCCCAACATCCCAGCATCAAGAAATCACAATAAGCCATGTAAGCTATTGCTTCAAAATTATCAAATAGTTGCATGTAACACATTGCTCCCCTGACATATTCCATTTTCAACACCTCTGTCAAAGTCAGCATGACCAGACCCCCAGCACAGTCAAGCAGGTTGATTTCCTAGTTCCATATTATATTTTAAAATCAAAGAACCTACAAATTAAATTGGTAAGGCTTAAAATCAAATTTTTTCATAAAATGTCCAGAGACCAATCCAGTGCTTCCTGTTTTTACAGAACACGAGATGGTTGCCATGGCAATGTTATTAGGATTCTTTTGCCTTGTGATGTGCCTGCTACCAATTGCAGAAGGTAAGAATCTGTAACATTTTCAACATATACATGTACATAAAAATTAGAAGACCATTGATGGACAGTAGGTTTCTCAGTGGTGTCCAATTTTGTGATTCCAACACTTAACAGATGAATTTCTGTCAAACAGTTTACATGTATTTTGTTGTCTGACATGGAGGCCAAAACAATAAGTAGGCTCCTTATTTCTACAAGATTTACAGCTGGCCGTGATACCATGGCCAGCGTGAGGTAGGCAAAGAGTTGCATGCACATTTGTAAAAATAATTATGTCTTCAAATAATTTGCATGTATATGATGTAAACAAAAAAAGTGATCGATCTTACGCGGTAGCCAGCAACAACAAGGATCCAGTGGTAACTACGGAGGATGGCACGTACTGCATCATGTAGTTATTATCAGGAGGATAGGAAATGATAGCAATGATGTAAGAGAGAAGTAACTACTGGTTCAGGATAGTCTTGCACATAGAACATCAAGTTTGTTTCCTGTTGAATTCAAATTGAAACTGAATAACACATGTGCTCTGACAACTGTGCACTGCAGCATCATTATAGTCAATTATTGAGACTCAACAACTGCATGTTGCAAAGGAGATTAAATTTTTGTTGTCATGATCATATTTTTAATCAACTAATATCACTTACATTTTTTGCATCCCTCCATGTAAGTGCCATCAGTAAGTGTTCAATCAATGTGTGGTGTCTGGTGTGTATCTGTATCTTTACTTAGTCTAATAAACCAGTATAAGCACCAGTTAGCATATATATATATATACTGTATAAGACACCAGCTTGGAAGGAATATGTATATTGCTAGGCTGGTCATACTACACAAAAACCTCATGTCAACATGTCAACACTCCCCTTTGTCATAAAATTATTAGAATACTTAGAGTAAGTGCATTTAGTTGTTTTTAAAACATGGTCACAGAATTTGTTTGTGTTTACAGAAAAGGGCTGTTTGTTTGTAATATACATGTAGGTCACAGCAGACACAGCAGAATATTCAATAACATGATTCTAAGCACTTAAAATGGGTCATAAAGCTGAATAAAGACTCAGTCGAAAATTACAGTTTAATTCTCTTCATGTATTTCACCAACTCAGATGAACATTCATGCTAACATGATTCTAACTTTTTAGGAGTTATCCATTTCATGAAATGCCCCAAAAGCCAGACGGTTCACGATGGTGGCAGCCTCACGGTTGTTGCCAAAGCTGCTGGAGTGCCACGGGATTCCATGACATACACTGTGCAAGTATTTGGTCCGACGCCTGATCAACAGAAGCCACATCTATATTCCTTCTATGAGAATGGAGGTATGTAAAAAAGTATTGCAGCTACCCTTAATCCTAACAACCATTTTCAAAACTTGACAGCTTTTTGAATCCTGATATCCCTTCATGTACTAACTAAATGTAACAAACAAAAGAAGTTTATGAACAAACAATGTACAAACTTAAAGCCACTGGTTGGAGCAAGGCATGTACATGACATGTACATGTAACATACAACACTTGAAGAGAAGGCTGATAACCAACAAAACTGAAACGCAAATTCTTTCTCTGAAGGAATAGGTGGTGACAATGGCAGCTACTCAGACTTCCCTGATGTCTTCAATGTGAGGGAAGAGAGAGCAAAACCTGGAGAACTAGACATCATCCTGACCGTCACCAACATCAGCCACTGGGCTAATGGTACTTTCAGGTTCTTGATACATCTGTCACCTCCACCACAAAACCACCTGGGAGAGAGATGTGAATTCAACCTCACTGTTACCACGGGTATGAACTAAATGTCTTCTTTAAAGAAGTTGACATGGCTCAAAATACTGGGTGCATATGCACACTGCTATATCACACTGTCCTGAATGTAGACTATTGAATCAGATATTTCTCCCTTGGTTTAGCAATACAGACACTAATGTTACAAATTACTGTATCTGTATCTACAATTCTACATGTACATGAAATAAAGGTGCCTCTTTAAAAAAACTTATCACTAGCACTGGATGGTAATCAAACAGAAAAAAATCAAGAAACTACATGTGACTACCCAACGTACATGTAACATCCGTGTCCATAATAATATCACCAGGGTCCATAATATCGCCACCTTGAGAAATAGTGTGCTTTAAGATATTTTTACTGCAACATACTTTTGGTATGCACTCCTGCACACCTCAAATGTACATACCAAGGGTATGTTGCAGTAAAAATATCTTAAAGCACACTTTTTCTCAAGGTGGTGATATTATGGACCCTGGTGATATTATGGACACGGATGTTAGATCCATATTTGATCATTTCAGACATGCACATTTACTTCATTTGCAGAGAGACACACTACAAGCTTAAGAGGTGCACGTGAAGTAACCAATCCATTGAATGCAGGTAGAATGTTCTACTGTTAACATTAATTTACCTGCAGAACTGAGTAGACTCATAAGTAAAACATATCTTTCTGCCTTGATTTCAAATCGTTCTAATGGTCACTGCTATCTAAAACAACATATCGTAAACAAGTAACACATTACTGAATAAGGAAATTCTGTTCAATATCTATATACCATAGGTATTTTATATAAAACTTCTTTTGATCGAAACATGTAACCCCAAGAAAAAATGTATAACCGAAATGCTACTTTTGTTACCCAGGGACTGTGGTGGGCATCGTGGTTGCAGTGCTTGGGGTGACTGCCATCTTAGTAGTGGTAGCCATCACGATCATCTCAATCATCTCATCAAGAAAAAGGTAAATGACAGAGAAAGGCTACATTATGCTGTTTATTAGTTACCGGTAACAGGCCATCTACATCCCATATTGTTTAAATCTATCAAAAAGCAAATACCGGTAAACTGAACAACAAAATATGAATCCAACAACACCCAATGACTCACAGCTAGAGAAAATGTACATCACAGCTAGAGAAAATGCTACTCATAGTGATATCATGCTTATCTGCACTAACAATGTACATGTACCACTTTTAAGATTACGTAAACAGTGAATTTCATGAATGCATTTTGTACATTGTTTGAGAAATTGACCATCAACTTCAACAAAATAAAACCAAATTTATTTTTGTGACCTCAATCTAAAGGTCTGATGAAGAAGATGTTGAGCTACCGGTAGACGAAATCCATATTGAGGATGGAATGCATCATGTGACGAAGGAGAACAAGGGACAACCCAAATCAACTGCAATGCCATACAAAGACATGCTGCTAAACCCCCCTCAGTCAACAGAAGTCTAGAACTGGATGTTATGTGGGCTTTGAGTGCAAGTTTAATGTATATGTACCGGTATAGCCGGTATAGCTGCCCCTCGGGGTAACACACCAGCTTTGGAGGCACGCGGCATGGCATCAGCTTGTTATGTTATACTGAGCGACTTGTTACACCTAACCTTTGCACATCTAACTAGCTATTTGGTGCTGTAGTTGGTGGCAGCGAGTTCCACTCTACATGCCAAATGAAAAGTACATGCATATGTGCAGTATTTACTTCCTTGAAAACAGGAACAGTTTAGAATTTGTAGAAAGCATTGGGCTAACTATTTGTACAACTCTTGGTTTATCTCCCAAAGGTTTGCTGGTGCTATGTATAAGTTAAACTTACCTATCATGAAGTTTGACCTTAGCTGTCACCCTGAAAATATTCATTGCCAACCACCAACTGATCAACAGCTATGATTACCAATCAATCAGTCAATCAAGTGCAGGCATCAAGTGCTGATTGTACATGTCATAATAAATGCATTCAAACCTATGAACGGGCCATTGATGATTACATGGTAGGGGTGGTAGGGGTGATTGTTTAAATTGAAAGAATAAAATAACAACTTTGTTCAAGATAGGAGAGTGCCAAGTGAGAGTGCCAAATAAAAATGAAGGAGGGCACCATAAAAGACATCAATACAAAATGACAGGGTAAAAAAATATCAAAACTATATCATCCCACCCCCCAAGATCCTTATTGGTCTGTCCATAGGGAACTGAAACTTCATGCATGCCAGGTCTCTTACATGCAGTACAAAAGAAGACTATTGCTGTTAGTTTCTCAAAAGCAGAAATGAAAGTCATTGTTACTTTTAGTGTTACTATTGTTATTTGCTCATGGCTTGTGTTCATTCAAAAATATTCTTTTACTTTCATAGGGTACACATTTCTTTTGTAAAAAAAAAACACCCTCAAGCACATCACACATGACATTTCTTAGGTACTTGATTATAATAGAGAACAGGTGTCAATGTACATGTAGCAATAATGTTTTTGACTGTCTCTAGAAAATAATAATGATGTGACTGATGACTAGAATGACATGTAGTTACATACTATAGACTACAGCATTGTTGGAACTGAAAGTAACATTATCAGGTAACAAATAAAGTATTTTGCCCACCTGTGTGACGTTTTCAGCTTCCTCATCATCTTCAACAAACACCATTATCTTGTGCCCCGCCCCTTCACACTGGTCCAGTAAGTTCAGCAGCTCTGTGTATCGCAGAGTAGATGGGACCACCGACACAATCTGGACAGTAACAAATTTCTTCAGAAGGCTGGTGCAAAAACTCATATATTACATAAAAAGTCAATAGATTTACGAAATTTTATAATTTTTGGACAACTGTACGTGTTGTAATTTTTTTCACTGACACTTTGCAATAGGAGAGGAAAGGAGATTTTGGCAGTGTTTTAAATTTACAATCAAACTCTTTATGGTAACATGATTTTGCCATGGAGTGGTCATCATGAAAAGCATTAAAATAAAAAAACAAACACTGAAAACATTTCAAGATTTACTAGTACACAAGATACAAGGGTATCCCACCTGTTTGACCTTACTGTACACAGCTTCCTCCACCTTGCTAGTGAAGACCAGGAGGGGTTGAGTCATGTAGGCCCTGTGGAAGGACTCAATCCCTGCTGTCCATTGTCTGGCAATCAGGACAATCTGCCTCGGGACACTGCGGTCAGGCTGGTCAGCAATGGCTTTCCCATACAGCCTCATTAAGGATTTAATCTAGAACATCACAAAGAGCAATAAAACCTTAGACACAGTCATATACACCTAAGTCCACACTAATCCATTTTGATGTTATTTTCTCCTGCCAAGAGCTTTCTAGACATTTGAAAAGCAGGAGTACCTATCAGTCAGCACCCATGCTACCATCCATGACTTATTTCATTTCTTATGTAGCTAAAGATATAAGTATACCGTCTGTAGTGAATTGTTTTTAAACTAAATTGGACGTAATTCAGTGGTCTCACTGCAATGTTCTATTAAGTGATCTTGAATGTTGAATCTTGAGATATTCAAGCAAATATCCTGAGCCAAAGAAGCATACCACCGCTCTTGTCAGTCAGGAGGCAGCATGCTTGTCTAACTACATTCTATAAGATGATCCAAGATACAATCAATATTCCTTGTGACAAATACCTGAAACCTGCCCAAAAAAGGACCAGAGGTAGCCATGATTACAAATACATGATCCAGTTATTCACAGCACATATGGACTGTTCTTAAAGTTTTCTTTTTTTCCCCGCACGGTAAGCGAGTGGAATCAGCTGCCGGGCCCAGTGGTGAGGGCATTGATAGTAGAGGCTTTTAGGGCCAGGGTAGAAGCCACCCTGCCATAACCCGTGTACCGCCCCCCCCCCCCCCCCCAGTGATACCCCGTACAGGGGTCATTGAATGATTCGAGGGTATATAAGAAGAAGAAGATTCCTCAGGTTATTTTTCTACCTCATCTGTGTACACCTCTGTCAGAGTGTCAGCATCATCCACGACCAGCTGACACAGCCTGTCCAGGTTAGTGTATCTCTTCTCTAACATCCTCAGCAGACAGCGGGGCGTGGCAATCAGCATGTCACACCCATTGATCAGGGGAACCTGCGAGAATACACATCAGTACAAGGTGTAATATGGTGATCACAGTTGTATCTCAACACAGTGTTTTCGCCAGGCGACAGTCCAGCCGTCCTTTGATGCTCTCTTCCCGCTGGGGACGGCCTGAGCCAGAAAGGAGACCGTCCTTTATCAACAATTATTTGCCTCTCAAAATGCTGGAAATAGCCTTTGAGAGTGTTATAAATTTCAAAATTTAGGACCACTGTAGTAAGCTCGCCGCTCCGCCCTCCATGGGACGGCCTTCGGGCATTGGTCTGGCGGAAACACTGTCTCAACATGTACATTGGTACCCCTTCTTATCAAAAGAATTCCTTTCATGGAAGAGTTGTCATTCTTTTTGGGGAGGAAAGGAGAGTGCTTAGGCTGTGAAACCCAAGCTCTAGGGGGCTCCCTACATAGTCCGCCACCCAAGGGAGCTGGCGAAAAGCGAGGTTTAGTCAGGCTAGAGCATGCTATATTATAAACAATTTACAGTTGTCATCCTGTCATAAGACCTGTATGAAACACAATGTCTTGCAGTAGGGGTTCACATTATGAAATAATGGTACATCAAGTAACAAAAATGATATTTGTAATCGTTTTATTTTCAATCTTACAACACTGCAAAACTTGCCAAGGGTTTGTACTCATGTCACATTCATACAAAGAATACAAGGAATGCCCCTACAACTGTTGCAAAACTAGCCTCCATAGCATGCCAAAAACTGGGGGTTTTGGGGGTCTTCATGGTCTTTGGGAGCTTTTATGTGCTATTTTCTGATTGCATATAGACAGTATAGCCAGCATGGTTGAATTACCCCCGCTCTTAGAACTGGGCTAATCAGAAAACAGCCGAAGACCACCAAAACCCCAGTTCTATAAGCCTGCTACGGAGGCTATTGCATAACCATATCTAGATTATGTACCATTTGGTCATCCTCAGCACCTGCTCCATAGATGATCAGTACCCGTGTAGACTTCTTGTCGGCCATGTGTTTCTGGCACTCCCACCACTCGTCAAACACACCACGGGCACTTTTCCAGTAGGGACACAGGATAATGGACCTCGGCTGAAACAAGTGGGAACACTACAGGTGAACTGTCAAACTAAATCTACAGATGAAGAGCTGTTGTTTCAATCCTGAAAACTGCTAAACCATCAATCAATCAATCAATCAATCAATCAATCAAATGGTTTATTTGTGAAAACAAAGAAGAACTTGTAGCCATTGGCTAAATTGTGTCTTGCTGTATAATTTGCTTTCTTAATTAACATTTCTGGCATAACAAATTAAAATTAATAGGTTATTCGATAAAATCCATGTCGTTACACACTAATTACCTAAAAAGAGCAATTTAAAGTTCAACATTAAAACAATCTATGACATAATTAAATGAAATATTAGCAGTTACAGTATTATACATGGTAATAGCAAGATAAGAGAAAGACTAAACATCCTACATGTAGTTAACTGCCATAACATAGTTATGAAAAGTTGTATCAGCAAATTACAGTCCATCACTTGAATAAATGTTACATTTCCACCGCACTCACAAACAACTTGTGTGATATCAACGTCACCTGTAGTAGCAAAATTTAAAGATAACTAGGTATCACAAAGTAGGCCGTTGCGCTTAGGAATTGATTTGATTGATTGATTGATTGATTGATTGATTGATTGACTGATTGATTGAAACTTCAACCTATATACCGATATATACTAATAGACATTATAGTAGTATCATACAATTTGCTATACAATAACAGCTTCAAGGGTCTTAAAGTTTTCAAAACTCTTTACCCCATTCCCTGCTGGCAGTCCCTCCAACCCAGCAGTCTGTGTAAGCTGAGTTATTACGGGTAGAAGGTAAGCCAGGGTTTTGCCGGTACTTGCTGGCGCCATGGCTACAAGGTCCCGCCCCCTCATGATGGCTGGCCAGCAGTAGCTCTGGACCTTGCTGGGTGTGTGGTGGTTCCTGGTGCTCAGAGACTTATGACAAGAAAGAAGAAAAATAAAACATGCTGATGATTTCTTATGATGGCATTCTTCAATGGTTTCTCAGCATCAGTGAAATGTACCATGCTACATGTATGTAACCTGTCTTTATTATATGTGTCAGATGTGTAGTACATGTACATGTACGTAAGATTTCCAAAGCAAATTTGTACATGGTACAATAACATTTTGTATCAGTACTGATTATGCAAAAGAAATTGCCACTTCTCACAGGTTATTATAATACAATTTATCTGTATACTGTGTGTTCGAATAAAGTTCAACGTTTTACCATAATACAATTTATTTGTCAATGAAGATGTTGACTTCATACAGACATCATGTGAGAAGTGTAGCACTAACAATTGTTTTATGATTTTTACCTGTAATATATACTCTGGGAATGGTGTTTTCTCCAACATGGTGCAGGGTTTGGGTGGGATGTCTCCTTTTACTGCCACACCATCCCCAACTGTAGACATCTGATGACCTGCTAGGGACAACGGCGGTCCACTGGGCGACTGTGGATAGTGTGACAGTTATTAGATGATGTAAAACATCTTCTGTACTAGTTTCTGTCTTACGGAGCAGGTGACATTCATCTTACAATGTTGATGCCATGCACTCACTAGCATTTCTGTTGTTACTAAGGCTTGATGGCAGACCACCATTTGCCTCTTTCCTGTTTGTTGATGTCCACATAGTACTGTTAAACAGGCTATGACAGAACAAACTACCAAAAGAATCTCAGGCAGCTTTCTCCGATACGACTGCCGATACAACGCATGCCCGGCTATCCCAAGAATGCTGTTTGTGACTGTACTACCATTGTACGACTGTACACAGGGCTCTCCCCAAGCAATGAAGCAAGGGTGGTCCCCCTTTTCCCTAAATCCTAGCACCTCTCTCAAAATTTTCAAATTTAGTTTTCTCTTAGTATTTCCACAAAAATTCCCTGATTTTTCAACTGATTATTACATTACAACTTGACACTTTGCCACAGAACTTGTAACAGTACCAGATGTTTCAAACTTTGCTACAGTAAGTACTAAAGGCCATTCTGTGTACTGTCCCGTCTCCTAACAACTTACCTGGCTGGTGAGCTGTGCCTGTGCTCTGCTGGGCTCCTCCCACTTCTGAGGCATCAGGACCTGCAGCAGTCTCTCCCCGATACTGGGGACCTTGTTTTTCCTGCGTACGGGCGACTCCTCTCCCTCACTTGTGGAAGGTTCTGTGGTAGAAAGGTCCCCAGAGCCAGAGGAAAGTGTAGGGAAAAGGCTGGGAGAACAAGGAAGAAGTAGATGGCAGTTTAAAAAAAGATAACCCCTTTAAGAAACATATTAATGAAAGCTTTAGAATTGAAACTGTATGTGTCAGAGATCATCAGCTAAAAAGAAATGAGGTACAGACAGCCACTGAGGGAGACTTGAGAGAGCCAGTACCCAAGTGTTAAAAGGTATTAACAGATACTAATCTTCCTACATTCAGCAAGTATACTGTTTCTATTCTGTATTGGTAAATGTGTCAAATATTGTCAATATTCTACATTTCTTTTACTTTGAACAAATGGGTGGATACATGTGCTGTTCAAATGGAGGTAGGTTTGTACGAAGGTTATATTGCTATGCTTCTGTGCATGTCGTGAGATTGCAGGATTTAGCATGTGGTGACTGTTAGTAGTGCTGCAAATTTGTACTAGATCTGAAGGTGAGGTCATAATACTAAGTATGTATGTATGACTCATAACAAGTATAGTCCTTCTAAATGGACAGTGTAACTGTTAATATGAACAATACAACATAACACTGATACTGTTTTTAGAACACTTCAGAGACAGACATGAACAACAACACACATGTGTACAAGTTTGTATTTTTTAACAACAACATGAGTGCACAATGTAACGGTTACCATATACATCATGTACATGTAAGAACCTTGTTCAAGAAACATTTGCTTGCATTAGACACAGACAGTATCAGAGTTTTCGTCTTCTGGAACGTTTGTTACACTAAAGCTTGAATGCTAATTAATAATACAGTTCAATTGTTACTAATTGCAAGTGTCACATACGATAAAGATATGTTACATGTCTATATATGACGATTAGTATGTGATGGCGTGTCTCAGTTTTTAACAAGGTGAGGTTAGAACATCAACACAGACTATGGCTTCTACCTATCCCTGAGAGGGTTCCCATGTAGGTTGATCCGGGGAAGCCTTGCTGGAGTATAGCCAGTATGTACAGATGTAGTACTAGTAGCCACGTCGTCACCTCCAGCACCAGTTGTACAACTTCCTTCAGCTTTTGCATCACTTCCACCACCAGAGCTACCAGCCTTGCACTGACTCGTATTGCTTCCAGAAATGTCGTCATGCCTCCCGGCAGAATTCCCCAGAACTGCAGCTGGAGTTTGCTCAGACTTCAATGTGCTGTGCATATCACTTCCTGACATCCCAGTACTCTTACTGTCGGCAGACTTCTCGGCAGATGCATGGCCACCAGTGGCACTAACAGCTGTTGAGATGCTTTCAGGGGACACACTGAGACTTTGGGATATGTCCTTACCTCCCTGCATGGGAGGACTTTTTGCCCTACTAATTCTAGTAACACCAACGTTGACAGGAATGGGTGACAACGATCTCTGTCTGACAGGTCTTGTTTTATCCACAAGTTGTGTCCACTCCTTCCCCAATGTTGACGTCTGCGAATACGCTGCCTTCAGCCTACTCTCCACAGATCGGGAACTTCTAGGGATCACCTCATCCACCTTCCTGACGGAATGTCCAGAGGATTTTACCTGATCTGGAGGAAAACTTCTCCTGTTCCTGATTTCTTGCCCTCCTTTGTCATTCAAAGGTGGGGATGCACCAGGGATCCACGTTGTTTCTTGACCACTGTTACCTTTCAAGCACTCAGGGTTCACAGCGATGCTGCCATTTCCAATAATACGTCCAGGGCTTGGCTGCAAGGTACGGGCTGCCTTGAGTATCTTTCTAGGGCTCAGATCCTTCCCTGCAGGCTTTAAGGGAGGAGTGTTCAAGGTTCCAGCAGCTTTTGATGTTCCTCGTCTGCTCTGCAAACCGTGTCCTGGCTTTATTGCTCGTACAGAGGGGCTTGTTGTTACAGAGGAACTCTCCCTTGGATGTCCTCCAGATATCTGCTGATTTAAAATCTCTCTATTCTCTTCAGCTGGAGATACAACTTTAGTCTTAGTTCCATCTGGGGACTTGATTGCTAATCCAGAGAGTTCAACAGCAGCAGCAACAACTGGTGACGCATGCCTGTTGCCGTTGTTGGGCACTCCTGTGCCCGTCTGTCGTTCTTTTTCACTATCAGCTTGATGCTGGATGTTGGCAGTTGGGGTTGTTAGAACCGGTTCGGTCACTATCATTGGATCCAGACCAAGCATGGCCGCTAGTCCACCACATGGAGATGACCGTTGGCTGGGGTCCGGGGACAGTGGTGGAGGGGAGGTCAGCTGGGGCGACACACGCCCTGCTGAGGCAGCTGACGGCGAGAACATGGGACTCAGCATCCTCATGTTGGACTTAACTGTAAGAGATACAAAATACAATTACATGTACTTCCTTCATAACAGTGCCTATGAATTGTGACTGGTACAGTTATCTACAATATTTCAACAATTATATGAGTGGAATAACCAGCTATTTACAACTGCTGTTGAGAGAGCTTTGATAACAATACTAAAAATACCTCAACAAATATACACTGTAAACCATCTGTTACAGTTCACTTCAAATGTTATGCGACCTTAAACTTCATTACCACTGTTGTAATAAAAACAGTTTGTTAGTGTAAATTGTTATGGTGCACTTTAAGAAAGGGAAGGTGCCAACACAACATGGACAAAACCTGCTGATACAAAGACACAAACACTGAAAGGAAGATAGTAAGTAGATTTACTCGTCTTTTCCGCCCAAAACTTGGCTGGTTGGCAGGTACCTAGATATGGGACAATAGAGCATGCAAGTTGTAAACAACAGTTGTTTGTTTGTTTGTTTGCTTGAGCCTTTGTTTATTAATGCAATTCTCAAATTGGCCTGCTGACCAGTTTTCACATCACTTGTTCATACCATTTTACTGTTCCTAGAATTTGTTACAATTATCATGAATGTTGGATACAAAAGGTAAACCTTATATTTAGAAGTCCTGAATAGTTATCAACTGTTATAATATTAATAACTAGCATCCTTTAGTGACTGTAATGATAAACCTCTTACCTTCCTCATCTTCACTGTACTTAGCATACTCCTTGGAGACAAGGTCATCGTTCACACACACAGTGTGGGTTGTCCTTTTCAGGTACAGGTTGACGTAGTGGACATTGTTGTCCACCAGGTAGACATGGACCGAGGCACCATACGACTCTGAAACAATTTGAATCACACCATAATCTAACCTCCTTCTCTTTAATTCAACAATAATTTTCTGATGATTGTCATACCATAGGAAATATGATTGATTTTGATGCTATAATTTATAGGCTATCACCTTCAAGAACAAAGAGGTACAAGGTAGAATTTTGATAACCTTTGAAATAAGCTTACCTTTCACTAGCTTGCTAACATACTCATTTGCTGCAGTGTCATACTTCTTGCAGGGCCTGAGATAGAGAAAACAGTGTAAGAATGTGCAACACAGACATACATGTTCCTCTACATGACAAACAAAATATCTTGAGGTGAGTATTGAGGTGAAACTGTTTGCAAGCATTTATAAATGCAGGGCTTAAAATTATATACCACTTGCAGATGCAGATTGGTGCAGGAAAAAAATTGTCGCTGTGCATTATTTTTAATGTCTTCCTGCACCTAACCTGCAACATGTATAATACTAAGTAGTATATGGATTTTTGTTAACTGTACTGAGATGCAATGCAAAAGAAATGCATGCACTGTAACTGTAATGATACGGTTTCTGTATAGTTTCAGTGTTATACATACATCCTAAAACCAGAGACATGTAAAGTGACAGGTAAACTTTGTGGACTGGTGCAGGTACTTTTCAATCTTATGTTACCTATAACAAGTGCAGGTGTGCAGCTACTTTAACTAAGCCTTTAACGGTACTTTACACATTAACACAAGTCCTTACTGTTTTGTGGTGGTGAAGTCCTCTATAGAAGTGATGAGAGTGAGAGGCTGTAGACCATACAGACGGAACTCCTTAGCCTGCCAGGGGAGCTGCATGAACTGTGCTGGGGCTTCTCTCAACCTGCACAACAAGAAAATGTATAATTTGAAGTTTATTTCAACACATCCGTACAAAATGTGTCTTCAAAATGTAAACATCACACTTGTTTAATCATAATAAATGTATGTGGGATGATGGAGGATCATGAAAACAGTCATAACATCTTAATTCTGAGAATATTTCTTACCAGTGGCATGGAATTTGGCACTCCTCTGCATAGTCCAACAGGAAACAACTGTAAGAAATGAGGAGGTAGAAAAAATTAATACATTTAACTTGATTCAATGAACTTGGCTCCATGGCACAAGTTGCAAAAAGTTTATGCACATGCATATATCATTATCAGCGGAACTTTGATATAAACACTATATGTTTGACACATGCAATACACTTAGTACTAGGTAAATTAACTCACAGCCGAGAGCTAGTATATACAAAATTACAGTGTTACTAGTAATACTACCATGCTAAAATATTGCTATGTAGTAGTTCAACAGAATACCAAGCCAGTGGTCCACTTTTGGAGTGTAAGATGGTCTTGACCCTGACTCGGTACCACAGCTTGTCTTCTGGACGTTTCCCCACACACAGCTGGAGGGGAGACAACATTGACAGAACATGAGTGTACTGTGTACGTTTTTAAGTTTCTCACATCTTTTGTATAAAAAATAATAAGTTAGTGTGTGTAATCTGATCTCTCTGCTGCCACATGTAATTCCTGTTTTTTTCACGGTTTGCACACTCAGTTATGTACCGTGAACTTATCATTATCGTTAACAAATAATTCCTCAACTTTCTTTTTCCTGCACCTGTCGCCACCGTGAACATATACTAGTAGTTCCGCAAACATGCCCATTTTTCTCAGACCATGAAATTTTGGTACGGTGAACATAAAGTGAATTACAGTATTATATCACGTAACTGTAAGAATTATTGAATGCAGATGTTATGCCCAGATTTAGTGGACTGAAAGCTGCATACCTGTCCCTGTGCTGGCACACATATGCCCTGATCCATGCTGAAGAAGTCATTGATCTGTTTGGATAACTGTTGAAACTTCCTGGTCTCCTCTGACATCATAGTCCCAGGGGTTTCCTTGGCCCAGAAATGGTCAGCCTTTACAACCTGGCAGGGAATTCACAAGTGTAAGACTGCTATGAAGTAGTCATGATAATTAATCGCAATAAAAAAGACAACATATTTCTTGTCTGCACTGAAGGTACAACAATATTTCATCCAAGATGTAACATTAGATAACTGAAGTTACAAGTAAAAAATCCAGAAATACATAAATATGCTATGGAGATACCTGAATATGCATTGACAGGCAGATGATACTTTTACAGCAACTTTACTAAACGGCATTCAAAGTTTTAGTAAAGACAAACCTTTAGAATTGTGATTTCCATGGTGACTGTAGCTTATTCAGGAACAATACTAGAAATGTGGCCTCCTTTCTTGCAGGGAATATGATGTAGCAACTCTTGACTCCTAAAATTATCTTCTTTGCTGCATTTCATCTGTCTTGTCATGGTAGTGACGACTGAAAAGAAAAGACATGCATCAAATACTAATAGACCTATGCTGTTTTGTTTGTTTGTTTTCATATTTAAAGAAATCTGCTTCCATTTTTAGCAGATGTGAAAGGCAGTACCAGGTTTTATCAAGTTTTGTTTTTCCAGGGTTGATTTAGGAACAGTCCATTTGTGCGGGAGGGGGATGGGTTCATTTTTGGTGCAGGGGATGTGGTGAAGCCATCTGCTGCATTTGCTCCCGAGCAAATGTTGGCCTTTCTAGTTTTCTGCTCTAGATTCTCTGTATGATGCAAGTGAACATATCAGCAGATATGCAGATGTCGGGGGTGACATCGAATGATCAAATATATTATAATACACTAGATCTGGCCTGATTTGAATGGTATCTTCTGCTATGATCCTGTGAAAGGCAACAAAACAAAAGAGCATTTCACGCCAACTTGATTCAAGTTTGCATTTCTAAACCAGACATGCACGTATCCTTGTTCCCAGGGTCAGGGCATTGACTTGCAAATCTGGGAAAAGTTATGGCGACGTCTGGCCTTTGCAAGCGATACCGGATGAGTCCAGATGTATAAAAGTCTATCCTGAACTTTCGAGCATTTTACGACTAAATCTTCTTACACTCTTAACTTCTAATATTTCTAGACGTGATATAACTTTTATAAGACGTTGGACAACTGTCACAATAACAGCTTGCATGGCCACACGTGCTAAAAATCCTAAAACGGGGTGTTCCGTCAAGTTGCCAACCATTCATAATTTCCTGACGTGAAATTCCAACAAATCTAGCACATCTTGTGGTATAGAACCCCCTTCTCAACTTGCTGCTGTGGCTAGGTATAAATCTTAACAAACCAACAGAACTTTACCTTTCATCTAGATGAATAAAAACAAACAAAAAGTCCACACGTCCTGAAGCTAACTTAGTATTTGCATCTCCCTCCATCCTTCAAAACTGCGCCGGAAAGCTAGCAGATAATTCGCTATCATTCGACACGACACAAAGAATATCAAAATATTAGTAGTAGATCTTTCAGAAAGTTTACAGAACCTTTATAAATCTCAAATATGTTGTCTTTGATATTATAGCGCAATATCTTTCAAATTGAAATGTATTTATTTTTCGCCCGAAAGTTTGCTCAGTCATGTTAAACTTTATACGAATCAGCTGCTACTTTTACTCAAAGTGAGTTAAAGCAAGGATCCAAGATGGCAAACGATACGGAAAAACCGAAGCTCTCCAAGAATTTGATGCAGATGAAGGTACGGTACAACTTTTATATATTAGATTTGGGTGTTTCAAATACCAAATCACTTTTTAACCTCATTGTAAAACATACTTCTGATTGCTGTCCCGAAATTACGCTGGTATCAATTTCAGGAAGGCGGGGGAGGGGGGCAAATCCACACCATGTGTGGTCATGCCTCCACACATGGCAAAGTCTAGGATCGGACGTGATTTGGACGTACAACCATATATTATCAGATGGGGTATAGGAAACGAGTCTGTTATAAGTTCTCATAACCACAGATCAGGTGAAAATTACCCAGCCAAAGCATAATGTTTTAGCTGAGCCTTCCATAATCACTGTTATGCTTGCTTTCCAGTTTATGCAACGAAAACAGCAATCCGATGTCAGAGAAAAACTAGAGGAAGAACAGCAGCGAGTTATAGATGAAGAGCACTGGGTGCTAGACATTCCAGAACTCAAGAAGTTAGAGTAAGTACTTGTGTATTCTCATGAATTTAGTTTATGTATCACTTTTATAATTTGCTTTGCCATCAACCATTTGGAAGTTTGCATATTTGCAAATATTTGGAGTAAACTGTACTGGTGACAGCATTGTTGAAATAGTGTTTGTTCTTTGTCATTTGCAGAAGTAGATATGAAGTTATAGACAGTTATGTACCCTGTGAAGGCCTGATGTATGGTCGTTTTTCCTTCCAAGGCTTCAACCCCGCAATAGAGGTGAGAGAGTATTTCCTACTTCAACTTGAATTGTTGCATTTTGTACAGTAAAAAGTGATGGACAAGTTTTCATATGTTTTGCACATCTGTTCATTGTATGATATGAATGTGGGATGTCAGAGGAAGATGAAATTTGATAAATTCAATGACATTTTTGTTCCTAGAAAATAGCCAAAAGCTTTGGGGTTGCCAAGGAAGAAGAGGCCTCAGAAGCCAAAGAGAAGGAGGAGACTGTTTCAGATGATGAAATGGCTAGAAGGTTACAACTTACAATTTTTACATTTTTTTTTTTTTTGGTATTGGTAGTTTGTTAGCAGTTATTGCATTTGATATTACCAGATATACCTGTATATCCTTCCCCCCAAGATATTGCGGCATAATGCAATGTGCATACATTTGAGTATAGGCAGAACATACAGAGGTAAATGGTAAATGATTTTAGTTTGTCATTTTAGTAGACTTCTCTGGTGGTTATTTAAGATGCAATACCATGACATTATTCTATTGTCTTTTTTCAGATATGAAGCCATCGTGGGAACAATACAGAAGAAATTCGGCAAGAAGAGACATAGAAATTCTACTGGGGATGAATCTCAGGTCAAAAAGAAAAAGAAGAAATTCCTGAAACCTAAAGAAGACTAGATATAAAATTGAATTTGGATCCTGGAAGCACAATGAACTTCACCACCTAGCCCATGTATTGTAGTAATTTGTACTGACCATTATACATCTTGTATTAGCCTTCTTTACCAGGCTATATCTAGTACCATATGATTATTATTAACTCATGAAATCTATAAGCTATTGTTAGAATAATGAACTTTCGATAATGCCACTTTTACTACAAATTATAATGCCATGAGGCAATTGTGTCAATTTTTGTGAAGTGTTTGCCATCTTGGATCCTGCAATAGATTTTCCAGGCTGGAACAAGTAGTTAGATGCTAGTTTTATTAATAGAAAATTGATTGATAGATTGATTGATTGATTGAAAGACACTAAATGAATTGAATTTCAATAATTTTAAGGCAATTAAATAATTAACTCCATGTCTCATTTATGATACATGTATATCAATGTACAGTACTGATGGAAATGGTATACTTAAATTGAAACCATTAGGTGTTAAGTCATGCATAGTTAACTTGTAATAATGTTCCCCAAATTGACCCCAATACTTAGGGAATATTTTGGATTGAATGAAAGGTTGACATGCAATTCAAGTGGAAAGTCAGAAAACATTAAGTCTCACAAACTACAAATGTAGATTGTTAAAAACTCAATAATGACAACCAGACTTTGCAGTTTCAGTTTGCAGTCATTCTTTTTTTCCGGCTGGATAAGACAATTGCAGAACACTGTGTCATGTCAAAAAACTTCCTATCTTGGTCAATCAGTCATTGGCCATGGCTACAACATGACTACTGGGTATGTACTTTATTCAAATTGACAACCTTATCTGTGGATTGGATACACATTTGAAATCATGACCTGATTAGCTACCGGTAATAGCTTCCTCAACCACATCTTATGATCTACCATGTATTCCCTGGACAGTAATATGTAAAACAGTAGCAAGCTTTTTGTCCTTTAATTTTCCATAATATTGAGTAAGCCAGCCAACCAGCTTATGGTCTGTAGTGAGACTTTCCTCTCCTCACACATCCTTCAGATAGCCCATCCCAGGGCTGTCCTTCCAGTGAGGTGGCCACCCTGACTGCACAGAAGGACGGTCTTTCACCTAGAAAGATTACAAGGGGATAGATAGTGAGTTATCACAGATATAAAAACAATGCATAATGTTTACCTTCGCATATGGTCACACTTAATTCTTATTCAAACACATTCATATATATGGTCAGACAGGAGTCTTAAATCCCTCCTGGTATGAAATTGCAACATGATGTAATGAGAGCCATCTAGTAACAAAGACCTAGCAATAGACCATTACAATGATTCTAACACTATCAAAGCAAACTTAAGTGCGGCCCTATCATAGAGCATTTGTTCTTACTACAATATTAGAGTTGTCACTTCTTTTAAAAGTAGTCCTACCCTTTCATAGTAGCTGGCCAGGAGAGGAAAGCGTTCCTTCAATGACAGTTGCATTCGCACCAGGAAGGCAAGTGCTGGGATCAACCCTGCATCAGCCAGGGTGAAGTCCTTCCCAGTGATGAAGGATCCTTCTCCGTACTGCAGTAAGAGCAGAAGTCACAAGGGGGCTCTCACATCAACAACATGGGGTGATCATACATTGTAGAATGGTAAGATATCATCATAACATGGACATATTTTGCAAAGCCGGAAGGGAAAAAGAATTAGGACTGAAGGGACTGTATTCTCATTACTTGCAAACACAAAAGTTGCAACATTTAAATGTCCCCTTTGCAATATAAGACATGGACACAGTGGCAGATTTTCTGTAGTAACAAGCTTGCTTCACCTGAGAGAGATACTTTTCCCACAGTGGCAGCTCTTCAGCCAAAGCCTTACTTTTCTCTGCAATGAATGCCTGTTGGTCACAAAGGAAACTGTCACAAGAGGCATAACAAACAAGGAGAAGTCGTAGACATCGTCCCTCCATGAAATAGCTTGTTATTTTGAGATATTATGAGTCAAACTTTGTTTTTATCAGCAGAATGATAGATGTCTATAGATGTCTATCCTTTAAGAATTTTGTTGTGGCACTTCGTATTGGAAGGGGTTGCCTATATTTATCAAGCTGTTATGTGCAGGCGTTTAGTGTCTTGTTACCATGGTTTGTTTGAGGTCAATGACCTCTCAATCACAACATATTAACAAACCACAGATGACCCAGTTCCCTGCTGAATGACCGATTAAAGATAAGATATATTTCCTGCAGACACGGTCTAGAGGTAAAAATAGATTGGCCTGACCTGCCAGCTGGAGGTATAAACAAAAACACTCTGTACCAATTTGGGGTCAAACAGACCATCCTATTATGAAATAGGGGTGAAAATGTGAAAATCCTTTTAAATAAGCAATGCAAATCTACGACAACCTGCTAATGCACGCTAAAACGCAAAGACAATCAGCGTCTACCTGTTACCCTACCAATCCTCGTTCCAGATCACAGTTCCTATTCCAGATGACAACGCAATTACGACCAGCGAAGCCAGAGCATAGAGACGACTGAGTGTATTCTTTGTTCTCTCAAACCAACTGCGCAGTACGCATGCGTACATCGGATCAAACCATTATCCTAAAGGGGGTGTTTCTACATGGCAATACACGCCCCCCCTGGCTGAGATGTCGTCCCGACATTTGACAATAAATATTGAACTGTTGTAAATAACATGTAGAACTGTTAACTCGAAACTTCTCTATAGCTACATCTATGTGAATTCGAATAAAATATTTTTAACTTGTACAACAAAGTAAAGAGTGTTAGAACTGCCTTAAGAACCGCTTTGACTATTGAATTAAACTTAACTACAGCAAGACTGCATTTTTCACTACGTAACTTGCACGTACATTTCAAACATCGCGAAGGCACTGACTTCTACAGTAGCAAACTGATATAAGATAAGATTCTACTTCCATACAGAAGAGATAAATGCATACTAGCATCTATATTACTTAACAACATGGCTGAACAACTCGTCCACTTACTAATACACAAAGAAATCACAGCTTTCTTTCTTCCCCTAACTGATGCATTATAGTGTAATCTTCAGAATGTCACCTCTTAATCCACTAGAGAACATTTCATACTCCCTACACTTTTTCTGAAAGAAATAGATTTACTATAGGAGTTCTTCATCAACAGACACATCAACAATCCACGGTATAATAACCTCCACACATGTTGATTGCCCAAGAAGTTTCACATGACCTGACGACAGATGTTCTCTCTTTCTCAAGTTCTACCTCATTCACACTATGTCTCTATTACACCTGTTCCACAATATTATGCATTCACTGTTCATAATACAATTGTCCCTTGAGACTCTTCTCCTTCAGCGGGTAATCCACAGGTGCAGCGGCACAGGTACAGCAGATAATCCACAACACGAACAGTAATTCTTATTCCAAACAGTTAATTGTCCGCAAGAACAACAGGTAATCCACAGAAACAAGTAATCCATGGCAGTTCACAGTCCACACAAATAGCAGGTACTCCACAGGAATAGTAATCCATAGCAGTTCACCATCCACCCGAACAGCAGGTACTCCATCCCCTTAGCTGGGCGCGTACATGCGAATTATCGGTATCAACTGTCTGCAGTGAGGGCACGACTGATATAATTGCCCAGGATGCCCTGCTCCCGCATTCCACATGTTCAGTGGCCATGGTGTCCCTACGTTCCACTCTGCTGCATTTACTGTGTTCACTGTTGGCACTCTCAAGTAGCCCGGTTGTCCACCTACATCATACGTGAGAGTCCGTGGTGGTCTCCTATTTCGTCTCGGTCTATTCTCTTCTGCTTCTGCTGAGTCTGGAACATCCTCACCACCCTGGGACACACAGGGCTGGTCCTCAGACTCAACTTCAACTCCACTTAGTGCAGATTCTTCTTTCTCGCTGTCACTATCGCTGTCTGAGCCTCCTGACTGGCTCTCAGGTTCAGGCTCTTCATCTTCTTCTACTCTGCTGGGCACAGCTTCTGCCTGGCTCTCAGGTTCAGCCTCTTCATCTTCTTCTACTCTGCTGGGCACAGCTTCTTCTTTCTCACTACCTCTCCCCTCCTCCTCTTGAGGTGTTCTCCTTCTACTCTGTTTGGGAACTGGGACCTCTAGGGGCAGTCCCTCGCATGGGAGTAACATATTTCTATGCAACACTCGTGATCTTCCCTCTTGGCACTCTGGGCGTACCTCATACACGGGGATATTTTTCCCCTTTTGCTTCACAACGATGTGGATTTTGTCCTCCCAGTGGGAACGCAACTTGCCCGGTCCTCCTCGGTCTGTCATATTTCTAACAAGGACCCGGTCACCACTGGACAGACTGAGACCGTGCACCTTTCTGTCGTACTGTTTCTTCCCTTTTGCACTTGTTTTCCTGGCCTGCTGACTCGCAATCCTGTAGGCCTCCTGCATGCCCCTTTTCCATCTCTTGACATACTCAGGATATGATTGAACCTCATGCTCCTTGTCTTCAATCCCAAACATAAGGTCCACTGGCAGTCGGGGGTGATGTCCATACAACAGGAAGTGGGGAGAGTAACCGGTGCTCTCATGTCGGGTGCAGTTGTACGCATGAACCACCTTGTTAAGAGACGCCTTCCAATCTGTCTTCTGGGATTCTGGGAGAGCACGTAACATCGCTAGCAAAGTCCGATTAAACCTCTCCACTTGACCGTTTCCCTGGGGGTGATAGGGAGTTGTTCTCGAGGGCGACACTCCACTCAGCTGATGTAGGCGTTGAAACAACCTGTTTTCAAACTCCGCTCCTTGATCATGGTGAATCTTGAGAGGATACCCAAATCTAGGAATGAAGTCATTGAAGAGCTTCTCTGCTGCTGTTCTCCCTGCCTTATTCCTGGTGGCATATGCTTGAGCAAACCGTGTGAAATGGTCCACAACCACCAGAATGTACTCGTAGCCACCTTTGCTCCTTTCAAGGTGGACATAGTCAATAGACACCAGTTGTAGCGGCTCAGTGGTGATGATGTTAGTAAGTGGAGCTTTGTCTGGAATGTTTGGCTTCCGGCGCTTAATGCACTGACACTTGGAGGTGCAGTATTCAACTATGTCTCTCTGCATCTTTGGCCAGTAGAACCGTTGTCTTGCCAGGCTGACAACCCTGTCTGCTCCCAGATGGCCCATTTTGTCATGTAGTTCTTGGTATACAATGTTTCTATAGTCCTTTGGAAGCACTATTTGCAGAACTGGACCAGCTCTCCGGCGGAGAATGCCCTCATCATCGATCTGAAGCCTTTTCCACTCCCGCATGTACTCTCTTGTACCGAATGAGTTGTCTTGCCTCTCTCGGGTAGTGGGATTCCTCCCTTCTTCTTTCAGTTCAATTACCTTTCTAATGGCTGAGTCTCGACGTTGCGCTTCACCGATCTCCTTCTTGCTCAATGGTCCCATACTTGCACTCTTATCTTCAGGTGGTAGACTGTCAATGTTCGTAGTGATAGCACTTATCCATGTGGCATCTCCTTGATCAACCGCCTGCATGGCCTGGGTGGTGGCACTCAGTACATCACCACTCACTTCTTCTGTGCAGGTAGCCATAAACCGCTCAGCATCTCCTGGACTTGGACGTGGTACTCTTGACAGCACATCTGCGTCTGCATTGGCTTTCCCAGGTCGGTACTTGATGCTGAAGTTATAGTCCGCCAACTCTGCCACCCATCGGTGACCTGTCGCATTCAACTTGGCCGTACTCAGAACGTAGGGGAGGGGGTTATTGTCGGTATACACTTCGAACGATGGTGCGTAGTACAGATAGTCCCGGAACTTTTCAGTGACAGCCCACTTCAAGGCGAGAAACTCGAGCTTCCCTGAATGGAGGTGGTAGTTCTTCTCCGCCTGAGTCAGGGTCCTCGATCCATAGGCTATTACCCGCAGCTTCCCTTCACTTTGCTGGTACAATACAGCACCGAGACCCTGAGCTGATGCATCAGTGTGCAGTACAAAGGGTCGCTCGAAATCTGGGTATGCCATCACTGGTGGGCTAGTCAGCTGTTCCGTGAGTTGGCAGAGTATTCCCTGGTGTTCTTCTGTCCACTTGATTGGTTGTTTTGGGGCATGATTTGACAGCAAATCATACAGGGGCTTGGCAATCTGACTGAAGTTCTTAATGTATGTCCGGTAGTACCCAAGGAATCCCAGCAGCTTCCGCACATCCCCTACTGTGGTAGGTGTTTTCTCCTTCAGCGCATTGACAGCTGCCGTGTCCTCGGGGTCCATGGTGTAGCCCTCAGCAGTTACTAATTTCCCCACGTATCTTACTTGCCGCCTGAACATGATGCACTTCTTTGGTTTAAGCTTGCACCCGTGCTCCTGAAGGCGACGTAAGACCCTCCTGTTCCGCTCAACATGGGATTCAAACGTGTCACTATGGACCATGGTATCGTCCATATAGGGTTCACAGATCACGTGGCTCAGGCCTTCTAATACCTCTTCCATGTGTCTCTGATATGCTGGAGGTCCGTTCTTAAGACCGAAGGGAATTCGAACCCATTCGTACAAGCCGTATGGAGTAACGAACGCTGTGAACTCCCGACTTTCCTCATCCATGTAGCCTTGATGGTAGGCCTTACCCTGATCCAGGACGGAAAACCAGGTGCTTCCTTTCAGGCGGTTCAAGATGTCTTGGATCCTCGGTAGTGGTTGCCTGTCTGACATTGTCTTCTCGTTCAAGGCGCGGTAGTCAATGCAGAGCCTCATGCTCCCATCCTTCTTTCGGACGCACACCATCGGAGAGGAGTAGGGTGACTTTGATTTGGTAATCCATCCCTGGTTGATGAGGTCCTCAATATACTCCCTCACTTCTTTATACAGAGGTGCTGGGATGGAGACGTAATTCTTTTGCACTGGCTCTGTGTCTGTCAAGTTGAGTTTCAGCTTGAGACCTTCAATACTGCCGATATCAGACTCATCTCGAGAAAATGCACCTGATTCCTCCCGGAGCATCTGTTTCACAATCTTCCTCTGCTCCTCGCTCAAGTGTGACAGGTCAACTGGAGGGTCCCACAACTCATCTTCTGCCTGAACAGTGTTTACTTGAGCTTGCTGTGATGTTTGCTGTGGTTCTTCGCTCACTGGTCTCCTGTCCTCAGTTGTTGGGTGTTGAGATCCCTCAGGCACTCTCCTCAGCTCAACCGGTACTGCTGATCGTATTGGTTCTGCTCGACCCAACACTGTCTTTGCCGGCAGGTAGACATCATATTGGTTGGGATTGGTTACAGGCACCTTGATCATCCCCGTTGAGTTAACTGGGATGAGTGCCGGTCCCACTTCCAGGCCCGTGGGCCAATCACCGGCTTCATCTGGTTCAAACAGCATGATCTGTTTCTCCTCCACTGAGCCGCGAGGAATCCTGCACCTAACTTGAACTGTTGCCCCTCGTGGTAGCCGAACTCTCTTCCTGCCGACCCGCACTCCTGCCGGGTTCGGGACGCTGAACTCTTCTATCAGGTTAACCAGGGCCGCCGCCCTCTGTGGCCGAACCGGCAGCGCCCTCGACAGCAGGGCAGAGTCACTCCCACAACGCTTTTGGATTTCTTCGATGACGTTGTATCCAATTATCGGATGGTCCTGACTAGGGCTGTTGGTTGTCAGAAATGGCACAGAGATAGCTGGTGAGTCATCTTCGCTTAGTTTAAAACTGACCTCTACCCATCCACTGTATGGGATCTCTGTACCATTTGCCGCCTGTAAGTTGAGGCTTGCTGTGTCCTCAAGTATCTCTATTACTGGTCTGACCTTGATCTCTGGTAGATTCTTCTCTCTCCACGTATCTGTCATGATACTCACTTGTGCACCGGTGTCCCATAATGCCAGGACTGGCTGGTCATCCATCTTACACGACACCAGGCACCGATTCCCGACTAACTTTGTTATTTTAGTTCTTTGTTTTGGTGTTAGATGTGACGCAGTCATGGCGTTGACGTGAACCGATTGCTGTTGATTGTTGTTTGCTGTTGCTGTTTGTTGTTGTTGTTTGTTGTTAGTTGTTGTTACCGAGGGCTGTTGATTGTTATTATTTGGTGTTGTTTGTTGTTGTCGTTTCTGGGACGGTTGTGAGCTGCCTAGGACGACCCCTCGTCCCCTTGGGGTGCCCCTGAAGCGTTTCCCTGGTTCTTGTTTCGGCACCACCGAGCGATGTGGTTGTTTCCCCCACACCTGAAACAATGACGGCACAGCTCCATCCCCTGTTGTGTACATTGGTTGCACCGCGGGCTTGTTACAGTGACCTTGTTGACGTGAGCTTGTTGAGGTGAGCTTGTTGATGCGAGCTTTTCGTCCCGTTCTTTCTGGTCCACGATGGCTCGGCTCAACTTCTCCAACAGTAGGATGTCGCTACTGTTGGAGTTGGCTACCAGGTGCGGCTTCATCTCCATCCTAATGTTATTGTCCCTCAGGCCTGTTTGTACGGAGCGGAGGAACATCGCCTGGACCAATTTGGCGTCATATAGTCCATCTTCTTCCTTTGATGCTTCTACCACCTTGTCTCTCAGCCCCATCATCCTTGTGACAAAGCCTTGTGAAGACTCCCCTTCTTCTTGGCATCCGATGCTTAACTTACGGTACAGGTCGGTAGCAGTTTCCTCTAATCCATGGGCTCTTATCACCTGTTCGACCAATGTGAGGTTCAACTGTTCTTTCCCTTCCAGGTAAGTCCGAAGAGGTGACCCGGCTGGTATCGCCCTGATTACTGCATCTACCACCTCCTCCTCTGTATATCCCTGCCTCAAACCACTCTTGATTTGATATGTGAGGGACTGAAATCTCAGCTGCCCCACCTGTCCTGTTATCTTGAACTCCTTCTTGTGGTTGGACCCTGCTTGTTGGTTGCCCTTGCTGCTATCCACCTTCCACCTTGACTTCTTCTCCGATTGCCAGAGTGCTCTTCTTACAGTGTGGCTTCCTTCTCCAGCAGATTCACCCTCCAAAGTGGCCAGTCTCTCTCCCAAGCGCTCTATCCCAGTGAAACAACCGTTTACTACTCGTGCCAGGTTCGTGGTGGCATCAACTAGGTTTTTCATCGTCACCTCCGGCGTCTGAGGACCTGATGTTTTATCGTCACTACTACTGTTCTGTGCGCCTTTTCCTCCTTCCGCCATACTTCTCTTGTAGTGCTCAAATATCCCTCTAAAACTACCGTAATCTTGATTCAGCGCACCGACTTTCAACCTCTCTTTCGTAGCAACAATACTGCAGTCGCCCTCCCCCTTACAACCGCGGCGCCATCTTGTTAACCCTTGAACTTTGTTTTGTTTACGATGATTTGACCTCTCTGACCTTTTGTCCCGTGACCACTTTTGGCGCGAACTTTTCTCTCTCACTCCGGCGTCTGTGGCAGTTTCTTCGTCGCAATCGCTTCATCCGCTCCGTTACTCCAGGAAATAGGATCTCGGTAGAACCTCCAAATGTTACCCTACCAATCCTCGTTCCAGATCACAGTTCCTATTCCAGATGACAACGCAATTACGACCAGCGAAGCCAGAGCATAGAGACGACTGAGTGTATTCTTTGTTCTCTCAAACCAACTGCGCAGTACGCATGCGTACATCGGATCAAACCATTATCCTAAAGGGGGTGTTTCTACATGGCAATATACCCACATACCAAAAATGATCGCCAACCATCCACCGGGTTCTGAGATCATTCAACGCAAACAATCTGACATTGAGATAGCAATTCCGGTTCAAAGCAAACAGCTAGGGGGCCCAAATTTACATCAGTAAACCATAGTAACCACAACTACATGCTACCTTAGCATCGCACACACAGACCATAACGTGCCAACAATAGAATAAAAAAATTAAACTGCAGTACCAAGGTCAATCACCAGGTGCTCAAAGTCAACCTACACAATCTCCAAGGCCCCATCCATCAATCTGCCAAATATCATACAGTTCCTTCTCACCGATCTTCAGATATCAGACCAAACATGAAACGGAGTAAAAACAATACCCCCCATTTACATGGAGGGTAATGATGTTTCTTAGTATCTGTTCACCTGTTCATGTTATCATTAAGTGATATCAACATGATATTAAGGTCAAAGCTCTTTCACATTTACATGTTCACCCAAACTAAAATCCTAGAAAAGACAATTCGCCTAGATCAATGTTTGTAATGTTACATGTAACGTAGAAAACTATGAAGTACACAACATTTGTTCACTGAAAGAAAGACTTACCTGATCCCAGTCCTCTTGCTTTGTTCGGTATTTGTAATAGACCAGGGCGTTGTTCTTTTCCATAATGTTTTGTGTCTCTACGAACCTCTGCAGCACCAGTGCCTGCTGGGAAGGGTCGTCCGGCAGAAGCTTGGTTCCCTGGTTCTTGAAGGCGTTCTGTATATAAATTGGAATACAATGTTAGACATATTTGCTGATGTAAAAAAATAATCACTACAAAGGCACGTCAACAAACAGAGCTGGGAGACATTCCTGTGAACATGCCATGCCTGTGGACAAAATTCCTGTACGATTTGTAGAATAATTTCTTGCAAATTGCACACAATACTGTACCATTAGCCTCCTCCATGAGACGTTGCCAAAAAATACGTTCAATACACAAGAAAAGATGGCTTACCTCAATATAAAGGCAGATGGCCATTGACTCGTTCACGACAACATCCCCATGTTTGAAGGTAGGGACCTGTCCGCGAGGGTTCAACTTCATGATTTCGTTCGACTTGTGCTCTTTCTTCTCAAATGAGATCAGCTTCTTGTTGTAGCCAGACAGCCCCTTTTCCTCCAGACAGATCATGGGACGCCAGCATGGGACACTGCCAGAGCCCCAGTACAGGGTGATGTCGGAAGACATGATTCCGTGTGCACGGAACAGGTGGAAGACGCGTCACTGGTGCTTCACAGGATCGCGAGCTGCTAAAATTTGGCGGTTTAGCCACGTCCAACCCGGATGGATACTAGTACAATAACGGGTCAGTAAAAGGTCACTGGACGAAACCAATACGTCAGGATTGTGGGTAGCGTACTTTTCCGATGGGATTTATAGACCGGGACAAATGTATCTGCCACAAACAACCATGGAGTTAAAAACAACTAAAACTGTTGCGACGAACTACATCCACATTTCATCTAATGGACACAGATTGCAGCTACATACAGATGTAACATGTGGTATGCCAATGAAACACCGACTGAACATGAATATAGGTCATTAGGTCACCCATGGTGAGAGCCTGGGTGAGAGCGGTTCGCTGACGGATGATCATGTGAGGGCTGGCTTGAAACAGGTTTACTATTCTCATTCATAACTCAGTATTATACATGTATTCCCATACTTATCTGCCAATAAGTTTTTAAAAATTTATAAAACTTTCGAGTACCGTGAAACAGGCAGATAGGTAGGTAGGTAGAAACGGGTTTGCCATATAAATGTTCTGATTTCTAAATGGAAAAGTTTGATTTGTCGCATTCATTAGAGTTCGGCTTACAAGTTAACACAGTCAGCGAATTTGCCCAGGCATTATTGTTTCAGTGGGATTTTGAAACACAACAGGACTTAATTGCCGATGGTGCTTTTGATAAGATCATCATCAACCTCAAGTTCTAAATCAATCGTAGGCTTCCGGGACCAGTGTAGATTCAATAAAATAAGAGACGACAACCATTTCAATGCCTTGAAATTTATTTCATTCCTCATTTAGTAGTCACTTGGCAATGAAGTTTTTGCAGCGATCAGCATTATGGACGTCACTAAGAGAGGACGATACTTCTGACTATCTGACAATCAAAGCTTCGTATACATAGTAAGCTACAAAAACGAATTCAAAGTCCGATAAAAAACACGTCAAAAATATGTCAAAGCCCCGGAGACGTCTCAGGAAAACCAATTTTTTTTGTCGTGTAAAGTGGGCCATATAACGTTACGTCTGCTCGGAGGGTAGGAGACTAGATCAGCGTCATCAATATAAAAATGGTTATTTTCCTGTCGATGTTTACATGTTGTGATCATCGCTTCAGATGTCCTTAAGTGTGTCCTTGTTGGGCGTGTCCTTCCAGTGAGGAGGGTAGGACGCCTGGACAGACGGGCGGTCCTTCACCTGGAGATTCAGAGGGAGAACATGTTAAGACATTAGGAGGAACTTGAGCAACAAATGATATCTATAACGATGGCACACGAGAACTGGCAGTTTCCGAAGCTGTCATGGCAAGTAGGGCAAGTTGGAGAGTTTAGCCTGTAACGCATCAAAAGCAAACAAACAAAAACACTGTCGACCACAAATGTGACAACCTATATTATATGATATGTTTCAGCGTGCTGAATGCGTTACTATATATTCACAACTGTAAAACTCACCAGGTCGTAGTACTTGGCCAGATGAGGGTACCGACTCATGTTGAACCCCATGCGCACGAGTGATGCGAAGAAAGGGAACGTGCAAACATCCGCCAGGGTGAAGCCCTTCCCTGCTATGTAGGACCCATCACCCAGCTGTAGTCATGGACAAAAATCGTCAAGTCTTCGGAAGTACAAATGAAGTTTACTAGTACTATAGAGAGGTAGAAGCAGCCAAAGCTGGTGGGTACCGTATATCTAACTGTTTTTGTATTCCATTCATACTATTGGCAGGCACCGTTTAAGCAATGCCTATAGCTACTGTTTGCTTTGTAGTTTGTTTGTTTTTTTGACATGTTGGAATAGTATCATGACAACACAACATGTACACTAAATATAGGCCAGTGCAATGTTTGAGCTTTTGCAAAACAGCAGTTCGGGTAAATTTATCATTTTATGTAAATGGAGTCACTTCTATTACCTTGGCTAGATACCCCTCCCATGTCTTCAGCTCCTCGTGACACGCCTTCTTCTTCTCCTCCAGCATCGCCTAGTGTGACAAAAAAAGTACTGTAAGAACAGAGAATATACATGGCTATGATCACGTTCGTATTCTGTCTACGTTGAGCATAAACTGACTATAATTGTGACTATAATTCCACAAAATAAAGCTTTAACTATTGATTTCACCTCGGTCCTGTCCTCGGGTTTAGTCCAGAAGAAGTACGACAGCAGGCCAAATACGGCCTTCTCGCGGATGTTCTGTGACTCCACCGCCCTCTGCAGCACCAGGGCCTGCTGGACAGGGTCGTCAGGGAGGAGTTTGGTCCCCTGGCCCTTAAACGTGCTCTGTGTTTAAGACACAATATAAACAAGCCTGCATTAGCCATGATTCGTCCACTGACTTCGTACGTATCACTAGTGAAATTGAATCAAAATGAACATAGTGACCTTGGTTAATGGCTTACGGTTGTACGCATAGTGTTAGAAGTGATGTACTAGTTCGTGACCAACTTACCTCCAGATACAGGCAGATCGCCAGTGACTCGTTGACGATCACATCTCCATGCTTCGTGACATGCTTCATGGCGGGCACCTGAGTCAGGGAACAGACACATTATGTGGTAGAAGTTTCAAGCTTAATAGATAAGTAAGTTTTTTTTTTTTAATTTGTCATATAATTGATTTCTGTCAGATAACTGACAATTCGTCATACAAGTAATGGAGAACCAACAAAATGATAAGAAAGGTTTCATTTTTGGAGAGTGGTCTTCTGTTTTTCCCAAATAAAGCTGCTTCATTCCGCCTGATAAATTGATCCACTCGATGTATTTCTGAAATATCCACAGCGTCCTTTTAAAAACAAACAGTGCGGCGCAGAGCAAATTTAAGCCGTCACGCGAACGACCATGAAAACAAAACGTCAAACACAAATAATGGCAGATTCGCTGAGTCACTGCCAAATACGCTGACTCACTGACAATACAGATCGCACGTCGCACGCTGCACCCCGCCCACCTGGCCGTATACCCTGAACAACAAACTTCGTAGGCCTTGAGGCCAATACTCAATAGTCTCCTTAAAAATCTATTGGATTGAACAAACTCTCGAAAACGCGAGAAGCAGCAATTACAATATGCCTACGGCAAGGAACCTAGCGCACCTAGCATTGAACCACCTGCCAAGGTGGTGTCATGTATCTTGTTTACACAATGAGTACGGTAGCTTACACTACACAATACTAGTATGTCGGTCTAGCACAACTGGTGGGCTACTACACCAGGTTTTCCACCAAGAATCGCCAATCTTGGAACTCAATTAGTCAGTAAATGTCAATGGTACCAACGGTTACCCCAGCATAGGTACACGCAAAAATAAAACTCACCTGTCCGCGAGGGTTAATGCTTAACACTTCGTCTGACTTGTGCTCTTTGTTGTCGAAGGAGATCAGCTTGCTGTTGTAGTCAGACAGCCCCTTTTCCTCCAGGCAGATCATGGACACGCCAGCAGGGGCCCGCTCCCCGAGCCCCAGTACAGGGTGATATCAGACGCCATGGCCCTGTGCAGACGAACTTTTCTTCACAGAATTATAGACTGAGGTGTGCTTGCGTGCAGACGTGTCGCTACGAATGTACTGACACTGCCCAAGAGAAACACGTGACCCACCAAGTAAATAAAGGGTAGCGTCCAGTCTCTGTAGTCAGTGACCTAGCGGTCAATATATGTCTGGTAGGGCAAAATGGAGTTTGCGAAGAAACTGGGTGCGTTCAGGAGAAAGATAGCCTAAGCATTGAAGGTAATAACACTGTGTGTAGTCATGTGGAAACTTACGAAGGCCCATAGGTACACTTAGCATTTTTTATTCCACTTTGTATTTTCTATGGGTACTTTGTATTTTCTATGGGTACTTTGTATTTTCTATGGGCACTTTGTATTTTCTATGGGCACTTTGTATTTTCTATGGGCACTTTGTATTTTCTATGGGCACTTTGTATTTTCTATGGGCACTTTGTATTTTCTATGGGCACTTTGTATTTCTATGGGTACTGTTTTTCTGTGTGTACTTCGCGAAGTTTTTTTGGTGGCTGGCGAAGCGACATTCATTTTGCTTTGATGTGGATGCTCCCATTTTTATTATGGCGGTATATTTCTATTTACCATTCTAGGCAACTAAATTTATTTTAAACCTATTAAAACATAATATACTTTACACTTTGAGAAAATTTTGTTTGTTTTGCATGCAATGTTCCACACGTTTATTAATTAGGAGTATCAAATAGTGATTATTACATCCTGGCATAGATTATGTTAATGTAGACACAGGACCATACTAGTTTTCGGGGGTGCTAGGACATATTGTTCAGACTTCCGTCAACATTTCCGTAGCGATATATGGTAAATCACTTCCTCGCTGAATGTTAATTACTCCTTTGTATTAAAAAAAGCCCGTAATCTAAAGCGAGGGTTCATTGCCAATGTTGGGAAAAAATTGCATTGCGGTTTGCTGCCCTCCTACCAACCGCGAACGTTCATCACATGCAGTTTACGTAGGAAATATGGACAATATGCCGTTTCAGTAAATAACCTGACATCTAAAATTGTTGAAATATTCACAGAAACTCAAATTACACTCTAGGTTGACCGTCTAATCGTGTGGTAAGCTACATGTGTGCTGTAGTGACATGAATTGG